GTGCATTCATATACAACAAATCACCATAGTCTAGCACAGGTAAAAAGGTCACAGTGACTAGCCTTTTCCTGGCTTCAAAAGAGAAACAGGACTTGTTTCTGAAAAAGAAACCTAATCTAACCCTCAGCTTTTTAAGCAGATTAGTGACCTGAAGTTTAAAAGTAAGACAATCATCAAGCCAGATACCAAGGTATTTATAACAGCTAACCACTTGGAGTACTTGTCCTTGCATAGTCACAATATCCAAAGCAGTCTCTGGAGTCTTTTTAGCTTTAGAAAAGAGCATTACTTTGGTTTTCTCAACATTTAAAAGAAGCTTTAGTTCAGAGAGCTGAGTCTGAATAATGTTAAAAACAGCCTGTAATTTAACAACCGCCTCCTTAATGGAGGGACCTGCACAGTACATCACGGTGTCATCCGCATAAAAAATGCAAAGTAGCTTCATCCACATTTTCACCTAAACTATTGATGTAGATGGAGAATAAAAGTGGACCTAAAACAGAACCTTGAGGAACACCATTAGCAATGTTCAACCACTCAGAAGACAGCCCATCAAAGTGAACACATTGGGACCTTTCAGAGAGGTAGTTCACAAACCACCCCACTGCATGGCTGGATAAGCCAATATTGAGTAGCCTCTGCTTTAAGATGTGATGATCGACTGTGTCAAACGCTTTGGAAAGGTCAATAAATAGAGCTGCACAACTCTGCTTTTTATCCAAAATACTTGTAATGTCATTCACCACTTTCATTGTGGCAGTGATGGTGCTATGTTGCTTTCTGAAGCCTGACTGATGTTTAGACAGAATGTCATTGTTACATAAAAACTCCTTTACCTGTTCACTCACTAGGCGTTCAAGAACCTTAGCCAGAACTGACAATTTCGAGATTGGCCTATAGTTATTTAAAACAGTTGCCTCCCCTCCTTTTAGTAGTGGCAGGACATAAGCTGACTTCCATACTTTAGGAATTGTGTTTGTGCTGAGGGAGAGGTTAAAAAGAGTAGTGAGAGGTGGAGCAATAAAATCTGCAGCTATCTTTAAAAAGAAAGGTTCTACGTTGTCCGGGCCAGCCGGTTTCTTAGGATCTAACTTAGATAAAGCTTCATGAACAACATTTACAGTAAAAGGAGTAAAACTGAAAGTGTTTTCCAGACCACATTGTTCAGAGTCACAGACTGTGGTGTTCACAGTAGCAGAATTAGTCACAGAATCAAACATAGAACCGCAGGACACAAAATGCTCATTAAAACAATTTAACATAGTGTGTGTGTGTGTGTGTGTGTGTGTGTGTGTGTGTGTGTGTGTGTGTGTGTGTGTGTGTGTGTGTGTGTGTGTGTGTGTGTGTGTGTGTGTGTGTGTGTGTGTGTGTGTGTGTGTGTGTGTGTGTGTGTGTGTGTGTGTGTGTGTGTGTGTGTGTGTGTGTGTGTGTGTGTGTGTGTGTGTGTGTGTGTGTGTGTGTGTGTGTGTGTGTGTGTGTGTGTGTGTGTGTGTGTGTGCGTGCAGGGGGCTCTGTTGTTGCAGCAGCATGTTATTACAGCCTCATCCTGTGTGAGACATTAAGAAGAGCCCTGTCTTATTCTGGGTGTCCCATGCTTGTTAATTATACACATTTAATTTTCACTTTTAAGACAGCAGGAGGCTGTCAGCCCAATAATGGGGCTGCAGAGAGGCCTTGACACCACATTTAGTTTATTTTTATTTTCATGTCTTGAGGTTTTGTTTTGAATTCTTTGCTGAGATTGAGGGCACCTTTGTGTTGGATGGGAGAGAGATTATGAGACAGCTGATGGATAGAAAAGAACAAAGTGTCATGATTGTTTAAGTGTTCAAGCCATAATGTATAGTTCTCTCCTTTACTGCTCCACGCATTATTGAACCAACATGACTGTAATCAATAGAAAAGAACAAATTAAGTGTGTGTGTGTGTGTGTGTGTGTGTGTGTGTGTGTGTGTGTGTGTGTGTGTGTGTGTGTGTGTGTGTGTGTGTGTGTGTGTGTGTGTGTGTGTGTGTGTGTGTGGTGTGTGTGTGTGTGTGTGTGTGTGTGTGTGTGTGTGTGTGTGTGTGTGTGTGTGTGTGTGTGTGTGTGTGTGTGTGTGTGTGTGTGTGTGTGTGTGTGTGTGTGTGTGTGTGTGTGTGTGGGGCCTGCATGTGTCTCAAATCTCTCTCTGACTCATGGTCTCTCTCAATAGCCTCATTCATCATCATGAAAACATATTATTCACTATTTATCTGCAAACAATAGACTGTTTTTGTTCTGCTAGGCTGATAAATTACCCTCAACCTCTCCAGGTTCTCAAATAGGATCGGCCTATTTATATAACAAATCTGTCCTCATGTCTTTGCTAATCGTTGGCTGTTGTATGGTGTGTGCTTCTGTATTAACCTGTGTGTGAAGTTTCCATAGTAACCTCACCAATTACTAAAAGATGATTCCCTTTGCAGTCAAATAGATGCATCACTAGTCCAACCCCCCTGCTCTGAGTTTTCTTATTGGTTGGTTTAAAGTCAATCCTTGTTTCCTATTGGTTAGCTGTCTCCCTTCTTGGCCCCAACAGACTTCATTGTTCCAGCCAAATGTTATTGTGTGGGAACTAGTTTACCTGTAATCGCATGTGGGTGTGTTTAAGTAACGGGTGTCTTTATCTCCCCCTCCCCTCAGTCCCACAGACAGTCGTTACGCCTCGTCGGGCGAGTTGAGTCGAGGCAGCTCTCAGCTCAGCGAGGAATTTGTTGCTGAGGAAGGCGGGAGCTTGCGAGGATCGGAGTTCTACGATGAAAACGACTCTTACCACTCCTGCCACTCCTCCGTCAGCTACGGCAAGGAGGGTTCCCCAGTCTGGGATGGGGAGGACCCCCAAGGCATATACAGCGACGAAGGAGGCTACATCAAAGATGGAGGGGAAGAGGGGGCGCTGTATGCCGAAGAGGATGCTGAGATATACGCGGAAGAAGGAGAGTACACCTACGAAGATGGAGAGGAGATGCCTTTTGAGGAAGATGAAGATATGTATCAGCTTGATGGCACACTCAGTGAAGACCAGGAGCCGCCCTACACCCCCACACCCACAAGCACTGCCCCCACCCTCATGCCCCCCTCTGATGGTCTGTCCTCCCCCAGACCTCCACTGGAGAAGCAGGCTTCGTTGCACCAGCAGCGGCCGGCCCAGGATTCGCTCCCCCCCCCCAGCACAGCTTCTAACCTCCTTCCAGTCACGCAGGACGACACGTTGCCCCCTTTCAGTGCAGAACCCTCAAAGCCCCCGTTTGCACCCACCCAGCCTGCTCTGTCAACCACCATCACATCCACCCCCACAACCACACCGCAGTTTCCAGCTCCAGATACCGAGCCGCTGGAGCCTGAACCCAAATTTGAGGAGCCACTGGAGGAACCTCGATCTCCTGAGATTACTCCTGAAACAGAGAGTGTCCCCACGCCTCCTGAACAAAAACCAGAGGAGCCCCCTGTCCCAAGGTGAACACTGTTCATGCACTTCCTATAGGAATATTAAAACAAGATATCACTCTCTCCCAATTTCTCACTAACAATAAGAACATACAATATACTTGTAATTCGAAAAAGAAACATAGGAAACAGACTCTGGGGAAGTGGTAGAAAAAAACCAAAAAACATTTAGGTCCTGTCCAGATAACGCAGCACCATTCTAATAATACAGCAAATAATAATTTCAAAAATGATTATTTACATTTTTAATCATCATGTTTTCTTGTAGAAGGTGTGGAAAATCAACGTAATGCTGCTTGATGCTTTTACTTTTATTAGTCAATGAAAGTTCTCTCCGAAAATACACATGTACATTCACTTTATCATTTTAAAGAGCACATACAGGCACATATATGAATAACGTTTATTTGATATGTTGTTCCTTCTTTATTCATTCTTCAAGCTTCCCAAGGAGGGAAATCATGGAGCCTGGTCTTGCCAGAGCCAAAGCCAACTGGCTGCGACTTTTCAGTAGAGTACGACTACAGCTGCAAGAGGTACAACCTGTGTGTGTGTGTGTGTGTGTGTGTGTTTTAGTGTACCTTTGTTCACAGAGCAGTGAATTTAATGCCAGTATAGGCTCATAGGATTGGGTAATATGTTTTCTGTTGTTGTTGCTCTGGTTTAATTCACTACTATTCTCTAGTATTTGAGCTCACTGACTTGTTGCATCAGTCCCTGCATGTTACTGTTACTGTGTTTTTTCCAGCTTTTGATGACTGTTCCACCTTTTCCCCAGTTTTTGGTTATTGTTGTGAATTATTTTGTCTTGTGTTTAATAGTTTCTGTTCACCCCTTGTACTGTTTTGCCATTTCATTATTTTCTTTTCAGTTGCTTGCCACCCTCGTAGCGATTTGCATGTAATCCGGAGCAGATGCTCAGGTGGGTGTGGCCAGCAGTGTGAAAATCAATGTTATTCATATTTGATGAACCCTGTGCGGCTTATAGATATTTATGGGGAGTAAAGCAACACATGGGAAGTCACAGTATGCCTGCTCAGTGTCATTTGTAAGCATGGCATTACCAATACCAATCATGATCTGTTCGTAGGTGTGACCTGAGTATCAATGCTGTGTATCATTCTTTAAACAAGCAGGCAGACAAAGAACATGTCAATAATAGAGCATATAGAATTGTTGTGATAACATGGACCACCATCTATTTGTAATCTTCTTTGATGCTTAACACCCCTTTTGTCCAAGTTTCCAAGGTATACCACTGTTGTATTATTCATTTGTGAATTCAGGGAACACTTGCATTCATTGGCAACCACTACCAGTGAAATCTACAAGAAATAGTGCTTTTGGATTAGGAATACCATGAATCCCTCCCAATTTCTTTATTCTCGGTATATAACGCATTATAGAGAGTACTATAATATGTTATGCTTCCCATTTTCCCAGCCACAGCTCTAATGGCACCCTGATTGCTTCTTTTCCGCTTCTCATCTTTCTCTTCTCCTCAGGCCCGGGGAGAAAGTGTTGGCATTGCCTCTCTGCTTTTATCAGCAGGGTAAGTAACCATGACGCTGTTACTACTACGGTCATTGAAAATCTATAATTCACGAAGTGTAAAAGCAAGCTCATGGCTTTAATGTCTGAATGCATTTATTGTCCAATAGACAATTTGTTGTGTAGCTGAATCCTGCTCTGCTCATGTCTTGTCTCCAGGATGGGTGGCGCTCTCTATAGCATTGACAGCATGCCAGACCTCAGGAAGAGGAAAGCTATGCCTCTCGTCCGAGATCTGGTGAGTTTCTGCACTAATCTCTTTATATTTCCCAGATGAAAAGTCTCACATCTCCCCAGTCCATCTATCGCTCAGATCGCAGAGAGAACCCCCTGTGTTCTCATCTTATTCTCTTTACCTCATTGTTCTTTTCGTTTATTCATTCTTTTTCTTTTGACTTTTATTTCTCACCGTTTTTTAGCCCACTGCACTACATGGACATGGCCGAAAAAACAATATATCAAGGGCGAGCTGGTTTCCTGTCATTGACAGTGATGTTTGCTAGATGCTGTCATACTGTATAACAGACTTTTCATTACCAGCTGCTGCCATCGTCCCCATGCCTCATTAGGGGTAACACAGAGAGAAATATATATCCTCTTGAGAAAACTGTAACTGTAAAATCGAGTCTTTCCCTTAGAGTTTATTGTCCTAGCCTGAGCAGCATTATCAATTTCTGTCTTTAAGAAGATGAGAACAGGCTTTAATTTTCTAAGAAAGTTTAGTCTAATAATATAGAAAAACACATAGTTTTAGGTATTCAGATAGAAAAGTAAAAAAATAAACTTTAAAGTGATAGTTTCACATTTAAGGAAAGCCCCTTTGTTGCTCTCTTGCTGAGGGTTAGAAGAGAAGATGAAATGTTCTGCAAGTCATGAAGCAGGGGAAACAGCCTTTAACGTGTTGCTACGTGTCATGTTACACTTGGTTGTTTGTGCAAATTAAACCAATTAGAAACAACATACTATGGTGATCTACAGGGGTGATACTAAGTAGATTTGTAGTAACTGCAGACAGAGCAGTAGGATATAGATTTATATTTAACGTTAGGAAGAGAGTGATTTCAATCTTCTCTAACTCTCGTCAAAAAAGCAAATAAGTAATTTGAGAAAATGTGGAACAATTGATTTTTATCCAAAAACACCTTCTTTAGTGGAGGCTAGTGAAACAGAAGGCAGTCTAGAAATAGGACAGCAATTTGGCTCTTTATCATAACCGCCAGGCAACGCTCAGTGTGCCATTTTCCCTGACACACCAGATCCAAGCTCACCATACACAGGTAATTAGCTCTGATGCTGTCTTCATTCATACATCTTGCTGTCAGTAGGTAGCAGTGACTACACAGTCACAGTCAGGTACACCTGTTCCTCTTCCTCTCTCTGTCTCCTGCTTTCATGCACGCACGCATGCACACACACACACACACACACACACACACACACACACACACACACACACACACACACACACACACACACACACACACACACACACACACACACACACAACGTGTCATAGTGTCTTACTGTATGTAATTAATCATACAGGGTGAGGTCATGTCTTCATGAAATGCAAAAGGGTGCTACTCAATAAACATATACAATTCTCCAGTTTGGTTAGCAGCTGCTCTCGCCTTTAAGTCTCCGCATCTGGCTCTAGGTTCACCCTGTTTCCCCCCCCCCCCCCCATCCTTTTATTGCAGATGTCCATTTTTGTTTAAACATGATAACCACAGCATATGCACAATGAATGCAGCCTTTCTTAACATTATTAACTCCCTATGGAACCCCCCCCCCCCAATCCTTCCACTCTCTCGCCTTTTTCTAACATCAAATTTCTCCCTTCCCTTCCCTCCCTCCACCGTCAATGCCAAACCAAAGGCTATGGTGAGTAACTTCAACACCTTTGAAGGTATACTAGTTTTCTCATCTCACCAGAAAATGGATCCCTCTTATGAGAGGAAGCACTTTAAATGCTGCAGTAGTCATCTCTAGTTTTCTTGCAGGGGAGCATTGCCAGACAGACAGTAATAAAAACACATTGCCTCACAGGCTGCACTGAGATGTGTCTTGATAAAGAAATAAGATATTGAGTAGGGATCTGAGGGAAACTGACCCCTCCTCTCTCCTGTCACTCAGTCATTGGTTCAGAGCTCCAGGAAGGCAGGCATCACCTCAGCCCTGACGTCCAGCACCCTGCACAACGAAGAACTGGTCAGTACTCGATTAGAATAATAATTCACAGTATCTCACATCATAATTGTATCATACTCAGCTGAACCTTTACTTCTCTCTCCTGCAGAAGAGTCATGTATACAAGAAGACCCTCCAGGCCCTCATATATCCAATCTCCTGCACAACCCCGCACAATTTCGAGGTGTGGACAGCCACCACACCTACCTACTGCTACGAGTGTGAGGGGCTGCTGTGGGGTATCGCTCGCCAGGGCATGCGCTGTACCGAGTGTGGAGTCAAATGCCACGAGAAGTGCCAAGATCTACTCAATGCCGACTGTCTGCAAAGTAAGTGAAGTGCCCGAACATATACGCGCCATTTTAGCCACTAAAATACTGGAAAAAAGGCAGGATTCAAAATATGTAATTTAAAGTAAGCAACACACGCTTGATACCACTCTCGGTTAGCCTAGCTTAACAGCTATCCAAAGGTTAAAATGTTTTTACTTATTAGACAAGTTATATATGACATTTTGATTAGTGAGCTTTAGTGTTAGTTGTCAGCAGGTTACCTTCAGAGCAGGGCTGGTTTCATATTTACAGTACAGAAATGAACGTGGCATCAATCTTCTAACTCTTGGCAAGAAAGCAAATAAGCGTCTTTCCCAAAATGTATTAGCTATTCCTTTTAATGTTATATATTTAATACTTGGTCCTAAATAGGCTTTGTATAGCCTATCATATTTAGGGATATATAAGATCTAAAGCTTAGACTTCGTAGTATATTCATAGTACAGTATATGAAAGTATAATATTCACATGGTGTTACTGAGATATACCATGAAATATTTACAGGAGCCGAACAACCATTTGCTGACTTTACGTTTTTATATTTTTTCGCTGCGTCAGTGCTGATGTTTTTATATTAATAATAGTAAACTATCTACTCCATCTATTTCCTCTTATCACTATTTGTCACTGCCAAGCACAGAGTCCTCCTCCTCCTACTTCCCTCACTCCTACTTTCTTATTTTGTTCTCTTGAGAGGATATTAAAAGCCATTTGTCTTTTGTTGTCATCCGCCTCGCTTTTCCATCTCTCTTTTACTCAGCGTTTTATAGCTCTGCAAATGTGGCCCTCTTTCATTGATAATATATATAGGTTTTCATCACCTACACATTCTTCACAGGCATTCTTCTCTTTAATGTATTGAAATCCCTCGAAATCTTCCTTAAACATGTAGAAATGCATCCGCCATGCAATGTTGTTCTGCTCTGTTATTGTCTTCACTAATCACTTTATCATATATCAACACCTCTCATATGACACCACTTATATTTCCTTTAACACGTCTAATCCTTTCCGGTCTTAATCTGTATTGTAACCAGGAGCAGCAGAGAAGAGCTCCAAACACGGCGCTGAGGACCGAACGCAGAACATCATCATGGTTCTTAAAGACCGCATGAAAATCCGCGAGAGGAACAAACCTGAGATCTTCGAACTCATTCAGGAGGTGTTCGCCGCCCCCAAGGCCACCCACGTCACCCACATGAAGCAGATCAAACAGAGCGTGCTCGATGGCACTTCTAAATGGTCGGCCAAGATCTGCATCACAGGTGAGAGGGGAGTTAAAGGTCACCTATTAGGCAAAATCCACTTGTTCATGTCTTTTATACATAAACATGTCTCCCCTCTGTGTAAAGAGATTCTGAAAGTTTCAGGAAAAAAGATTCCCCACTTTTTGTCCTGATCCATTTATATAAAAACCTGTCTGAAAATGAGCTGATCAGATTTTCGCCATTTTATGATGTCATAACGATTTATTTGGCTTGTGTAACCATTAGCCAATCACCAACCAAGGTAACCCCCCCCACCTTATCACCTGAATCCCCTCCTAGAGCACCATTGTGTTCTTTTTAACCAAATATCTCTCAGAGGGGCGTGGGGAGTGGCTCCTTATTTTCATCTAAAGTAACAGACAGAGAATCAGCACTTTTGCAACAGGGCTGAAACAGAGGGGATTATGGGATGCTGCAATGATCTGTTTAGTATTTCGAGGCCAAACACTTCAGAGACATGTTTTGTATATATCTGAGACCTATAATATATTGATGAAAAACAGTGTAATAGGGGACCTTTAAATCAGTACAGTACAGTAGCTTTGAACAGAGCTGGCCAACCCTGTCTACATCAAAGTCAGAGACAAGCTGGCGTTTGAATGAAGAGAGCACAGGTGGCATTTGTGGGGCAGTAGAGCACGAGGTCACATGATTTGCACCCAGACATACACACATTGACTGACCAGCATGGCATCTTTTACCCTCTTTTCCCCAGTGTTGTGTGCTCAGGGTCTACAAGCCAAGGATAAGACCGGCTCCAGTGATCCATACGTCACTGTCCAGGTGGGAAAGACCAAAAAGAGGACCAAGACCATCTATGGCAACCTCAACCCTGTCTGGGAGGAGACTTTTAATTTGTGAGTGAACACCGATTGCAAACATATGTGACATTTAAGATAGCGCTGCAAAAAGTATTATTTGTATTACCAGTTATTAAGTTGGTTATTTTTTCCAGTTAAGCAAAAGTCAAAAACAGTTCACAAATGACAATGATATAAAACAGAGAAAACTATAATTAACATTATACAATGTATTTTTAACAACTTAACGGTCCTGTTATAATCGTCTGACTCATTCAGCTAAGCATTTCTATATGCATACTGTTGATTATATTAACAGTATTTTTATGTTTGTATGAGTCATGATTCCTGATAGTAATCCACCTTTCCATCTTGGCCATCTGTCATTGTAAGTACTATATTTAGCAGCTGACTCTGTGTCTGTTTAAGTGAATGTCACAACTCATCGGACCGCATCAAGGTGCGAGTGTGGGATGAGGACGACGACATTAAGTCTCGTGTGAAGCAGAAGTTCAAGAGGGAGTCAGACGACTTCCTCGGTCAAACTATCATCGAGGTCCGCACTCTGAGCGGAGAGATGGACGTCTGGTACAATCTGGGTCAGTTAAATCTCTTTATATCAGCTAATTGAAACTGTATTGATACCTTGAATAGTTTGCAGTTATATGAATGACCTAACTTCTCTGATTCAGATGTTTTCAGTTCAGTAACCGTGTTGCTGTATGTGCTGTGCTCTTCACAGACAAGCGCACAGACAAATCTGCTGTGTCTGGAGCTATCCGCATGCACATTAATGTAGAGATCAAAGGAGAGGAGACGGTGGCCCCCTATCACGTTCAGTACACCTGTTTGCATGAAGTAAGCTCAATGTGTTGTGTGTTTGTGTGTTTGAACAGACAGTTTCTTATTAAATACATTCAAGAGCTTCTCGTAAATACAGTTTTGAGGCTTTATACATGCATTTTTGCTTCAAGATCTTAAGGAATATTGACAATGGATTTCACTTACTTCTAACAAACAAACAAACAGATACTTTATCCCACGTTAAAGCTTATACTTATTCATGTGCTTTTACTTAAAGGTCCAAGTCACTGTGCACTGATTAACTCATAGTTGGTCTGCATAAAAACATACACATTGTACACAATATCATTTAGACCTCTCTGTTTTGTTTGTAGATGCACACTAATCGCACACTAATAGCAGATTGGGCATTAGATAAAATAATAACAGGGAATCTCTCAGGTCTCTACCGAATAGTTTGAAGCATCGAAGCACTCGTATTATTTGTAGAATAAAAGAACGCTGATTTTTTAAATAACAGATTTTTTAAAATTTCAATCATTCAAATTTAGGATTTTGCAATGCTACTTTTTCCGTTAGGGTTTATAGTAGTGTAGTGTTTGTCTGTGTACCTGTGAGTATTTCTGTGCACAGTATTCCTGATGAGCCATGCCAAACAGGTTCATTTCCTTATTTTCTTCTTACATCTAATGTTAAGATCCATTTCAAATGAAGGTAATACTGCAGGAAGTTTGCTTTGCTCTCATGAGATAAAGATCCACTTCCAACAGCAAGACATCAGACACATTTCTCCTCCGGCTCGGTGCTGATTGATTGTAGACCGATCACAGCTTTGTGTGGAGTCATTACTCAGCCCATTACTCAACTGAGCATATTAGCTGAACCTTAACAGACAAATGACCGCTGTTATTGCTGCACATAAGTGGCCATAAACCACGTAGACAACTTTTACAGCAGTATAAACGCTTCAGGGTCGAGTAGTCAAGACAGCACCTTGTGTTGGCCTCGTAATGTAGTGTAATGGATATTTATGTAGCCAAGCCATTTAAAGATTAACAAACCAGATTTAATCTGCTCTGTGTTTGTCCAATGGAAGATTAAAAAGCTTTGATTATAGATGTGCAAATGCTCTTAAAAGCCATTTAACACTTTTGATTGCTCTCTCTTTAACCTCTCTATTACATGTAATTTATTTTTGCCTTCCTTTCCGATATTTTTCTCACTTTCTCACCTATGTTCTCTAGATATTTCCTCCAATTCTCTCTCTAACTCGTTACTCTGTTCCTCTGCGTAGAACCTCTTCCACTATGTGACAGATATCCAGAACACCGGTGTTGTGAAGATCCCCGACGCCAAAGGGGATGACGCATGGAAGGTCTACTTTGAGGAGACTCCCCAGGAAATTGTGGATGAGTTTGCAATGCGTTATGGAGTGGAGTCCATCTACCAGGCCATGACGTATGTTGCTACCTGAAAGCCTGACCTTAGAATATGATTATTTAGAGGTCACCTATTATGTAAAATCCACTTTTCCATGTCTTTTCTACATCAACATGTGTCCCTTCTGTGTAAAGAGATTCTGAAAGCTTTGTCCTGATCCATTTATATAAAAACCTGTCTGAAAATGAGCTGATCAGATTTTGGCCACTTTGTGATGTCATAACGATTGTTTGTCTTGTGTAACCATTAGCCAATCACCAACCAAGGTAACCCCCCCCCCCACATTACCACCTGAATCTCCTCCTAGAGCACCATTGTGTTCTTTTTAACCAAATATCTCTCAGAGGGGCGTGGGGAGTGGCTCCTTATTTTCATCTAAAGTAACAGACAGAGAATCAGCACTTTTGAAACAGGGCTGAAACAGAGGGGATTATGGGATGCTGCAATGATCTGTTTGGTATTTGGAGTCAAACACTCCAGAGTCACGTTTTGTATATATCTGAGACCTATAATAAATTGATGAAAAACAGTATGATAGGAGACCTTTAACATAAGCCCCTGTTTCTTTGAGTGCAGTTATTTATATGCATTAAGCTCTCTGTACAGTCTCCTTCATTTGCTTACATGTCCCTCAATATTTCTCTTTTTCAGTCACTTTGCCTGCCTGTCATCTAAGTACATGTGCCCAGGTGTGCCTGCGGTGATGAGTACCCTCCTGGCTAACATCAACGCCTACTACGCTCACACCACCCAGGCCACCAACAACGTCTCTGCCTCCGACCGCTTTGCTGCTTCTAACTTTGGAGTGGGTCACACCAGCCAGACACATTTATAATGAATACATGCAACAATGTTATTCATAAAGGCTTGTAGAACAAAAAGCGAAATATCATAATTTGCTTAAAAAAGTAAAGTGTAATTGTGGTTGTGCTTTGCTTACAAAAGTAAAATGTTTTTTTTTGCAATCATAATTTCCTTTCTTAACATTATGGTCATTTGTTATCCTGGTGTTGATGGCATCGGCTCTTAAATATTCTTAAGTAGTCTGGTGTTAATATTTCCATTTCTTTGTTTTTTTCCTGCAGAAAGAGCGATTTGTCAAGCTACTAGACCAGCTTCACAACTCTCTGAGGATAGACCTGTCCATGTACCGCGTAAGATGCCTCTCCATTTTACTGTTTGCTCTCTTTAAATTATCTTTTGATATTTTATAATGGATGACAACTAATAGTGGTTAGGTAGTCAAACTGCATGGTAAAGAATAAACCCCCTCACCTCCTTTTCTCTACTGTCCATCTTACGCTTTGTGAAAAACACTAAAACAAAGCAGGCGGATGTGATAATTAGACTGACACCCTGAAGCATGCACAGACACATCCAGGAAACACTGCTCACCCACGCAGGAATAAGTGTTTCCTTAGCTGGATCGTGCCACACAAACACACAGTGGACTTAGATGGATGTGATTTCATGTGTTATGCCTCACTGTATTTCTTTTCCGTTTGACTGCAGAACAACTTCCCTGCCAGCAGTCCTGAGAGGCTGCAGGACCTCAAGTCCACCGTGGACCTGCTCACCAGTATCACCTTCTTCAGGATGAAGGTACATCTGTCAAAGACTGTTTTGATGTATTTTATACACTCCACGTACCAAACTTGCTCAAAGTATACCACATGTAGAATTTAATCAAATGTAACAAAACAAAGCAGAATTTAATGTATTATTATTATTGTTATAAATTGTATTATAATTAATAATATTATTATTGTTATTATCACTACTATTATTGTTGTTGTTATTATTATTATTACCATTTGTATTATTATTTATTTATATTATTATTATTACTAGTTTTATTATTATTATTGTTATTATTATTAGTTGTATTACTATTATTATTATTTTATTCTATACTAAATAATTGGCACATTTTTAATCTTAAAATAAACCTAGAATTAAGTTTGGGAAATAATCATATTTTATTGCATTTTATTTTATTGCAGTAAGGACAAAGCTGAAAACAATTCTGAAGTGTCACGATTTAGTGTTTTTAATTTGAGTGCCTACATTTTCTTAATGTCTTTCATTTTTGTAAAGCACTTTGAATTGCCTTGTGTTGAAAGGTGCTATATAAATAAACGTGCCTTGCCTTGCCTTGCCTTACTTTAACTATCTTTATATTTTTTGTGTGTGTTTTTTTCAGGTTCAAGAGCTCCAGTCTCCCCCCAGAGCCAGTCAGGTGGTGAAGGATTGTGTGAAAGCTTGTCTCAACTCCACCTACGAGTACATCTTCAATAACTGCCATGAGCTGTACAGCCGAGAGTATCAGACAGACCCGGTAAGAACAGCAATTTATTCAATATCTGTGTGGGTGTGTGTGAATGTCTGTCTGTCTCCTCTCAAAATGTTCATATTTCTGTTTGCTTGTTTGGCATGACTGTAATTAGGTGCAGTATTGCCAAAAGTCCTGTAAGTGTAAGGAAGAGTCAACAAATAGCTTGCTACATAGACCACTCTAATAACATCTGATTTAGAGATCAAAACATTTGTACTCATTTTCCCTCAGACTAACATGACATTGTCAAATAAATATAGATAAACATAGATAAACATCTAATTGTTGTCGTTTAAAACTTTGTTATAACTCTTCTTGAAGACAACACTGCAGAACAGGGGTGTCCAAACTTTAAACCACATACAGAAAAATATACGAAGGGCTGGGCCACTCACTAGAGGTATTTCGCCTCTTAAGTTCAGTCATGAGTTGGAAAAATCAATCCAATGTAAATTATTCTTGATACTTGAAAATGCTGTAAGAGAAAAAAAGCCTACATCAAGGCTCTCCAGAGGGTTTACTTTATTTTGTAAGCACTTAAAACCTTAAAACAGAAGCTTCAGATTGCTTATAATAAGAGGAAATATGAAAGGGTATATTTCAAGGTTGTTATGTATATTTGTTATTGGGCTTTTTTTATTATCAATTTAGATTTCTTAGAACATGTTTTCAACTTTAATGGACTGAACATGAATACTGTGTAATATATTTGACCATATATATTTAAGAAGTACAATATAAGACAAGCAGAAGTTTATTATATTAAGTCATTATACTTTTTGAATTTGCTGAGGGCCGATTCAAAATAGTCCACGGGCCGCATTTGGCCCCGGCCCGTAGTTTTGACACCCCTGCTGTAGAAGGACATGTTGCTCTGTATCTGCCCACACCAGTGCCAATGGCCGGGTTTTAGTCACTCAATCTGAATTTAGTTCATGTTTTTCTGAGTTTCTGGTTACTCGACGTTCCTCAACAATCTGCCATTTTGTAAAGTCTCTTCAGGGCCTAATAGCATTAAGATTTACTTTGAATTGTCGTAGATTGGTGTTCTTTTCTTTTCCATTGGCTGTAATTTGGCTCACTTTTTGAGAGGAAACAAGCAGGATAAATCATAAAACAAACTCCCACTCACTGAAAGAGAAACTAATAACTTAAAGGGGACCTACCATGCAAAATGCACTTTTGTACGTCTTTTATACATGAATATGTGTCCCCGGTGTGTCAGGGAACTCACCAAGTGTCAGAAAACACAACCCTCTCTCTTTTCCACCATACCCAAATCTCTAAAAATGGGGCTGCAACGGAGCTGATCCAGATTTGAAATTGTTCTGACGTCAGAAACGGGGAGCTCCGCCTATATGGGCAACTCTCCACCTATCAGGGGAATGGGGGGTTGGGCCACGGCCATTGCCGCTCGAAAGCGCTGGAGACGCTGTAGTACATATGCCAGGCCTGTAAGTGGCGCTGTAGTCTGCCACAAAAGCAGCGAAGAAGACTTCTCACAGAATCAGCCCTTGCAAAAACAGGGCTGGAAAAGAGCAAATAGAGCGAAATGAGGCATGGCTAAAATGCATGATCTGTTTGGTATTTTGAAAAAAAAACTTCACAGACATGTTTTATATAGGTATGGCCCTACAATATAGTATTCAAATATAGCATGATAGGTCCACTTTAAACTCAAGCAGCACTTTCTGATCATTTGGATACCAATATTCCTGGATCCATTTTGTAATTGTATCTGTGACTCCTTTGCTTGATTTCTGTATTATCCTCAGTGTTATGTAAAAAGCACTGTGACACTAGTGTGCGTTCCCATCATCAGATCCAGGTCTGTCTCATCCGTCACTCCTGCATTGGATTTCAAGAGGGATTTCTAAAACTAGCTTTGAGTCATCATTAAAGCGCTTATTCGTTTCAGAGTCCCTGGTGAATTTCAAATAAGCATTTTTCCCTTTGAATAACACATTTCATCCTCAGGGATGTTGCTATATATTGTTGAAATCTCTGCAAGATCGTTCTTCACGTCTCAAACCCTGCGGTGCTCGGCTCCTTTTTTTTGTCCTCCAGCACATTTTCAGCTATTTCAAAGAAGTCGTCCAGACAGTTGACATTCTGGGTCTGTTCAAAGCTGTTTTAGCAGCTAATCTTGAATATGTATGAGTTGTTTTTGTTGAATTAACAAACACAGTCAGGATTTCCCCCAGAAGAAGTCTTGTTGTCTCAGACATGAAAAATACAAAAGTGAAATTCACATTTAGAGCACTGCACTCATTACTGAATTATAACTTGTTTTTGGAAGATTGTCCCAATGATTATTTGATCCATAATACGAATAGATATTTTAATATGAGGTTTTTTTATTTTGTGATGATGAGGAAATTGTTAGAAAATAAAAATTGATATGTTTTGACTCTAAAAAACTGAGATTGAGCAGAATATAATTATCTGAAAACTCTGCATATCGTGGCTTCCTTCCTTTGTTTCCTTTAAGCCACTTTGAGCCTTTTAAACAGACATTTCTACATAATCTTTTACTTCATCTGTTGTAACTCACAGTTGTAATGACCCTTTTTGGCTTCTGATGATGTGTTGTTATGCATCTCTTTGCAAAATCAAATCATTTTCACACACATTCAACCAAGTCAGCAGGCCTTTACAATAATCAAACAAAAGAGTCAAAACTCAAATGATATGATGAACAAACTTAGATCGTATTTTTTCTGGTATGTTGTACATGATATAATGATACGGTTGTAAACTGTGTCCTCCTGAGGCGCCTTCCACACAGGTTGCCCATGTGTATCTTAAAGGCTGGCACCATGGGAATTGTAGTCTTTTATAGTTCCTTGACTACAGAGGTCACCATTAGATGAAAATATTATGACCTTTTAACAAAAACAGAAAACGTGTGTATGTGTAAATGATACATAATCTATGCAAAATTAGGAATAAGATATGTTCCAAAAAAAACAACATGTAAGTTTAGATATACAGTATATTTGTTAAGTATACAACTCGATTAAGAATGTTTATAATAATACATTTCTCTAGGTTTAGATAAAGTTAGACATTTGGTATTATGTATCAACCAAAATTGTGTAACACACAGTTACATTTTATGAAATACATGTTACTTATTCTGTCTTTTAAAAAAACACTCCAACACTTTCAGGTTGACAGCCAAATGTGCCCATCTTCCCTTCATCTACTTAACTAAGTGACCAGTGTAGAATTGTATAGTGACTTTTTTTATTGAATTGCTTTTCCAGGCCAAACAGGGTCCCGTGCCTCCAGAGGAACAGGGTCCGAGCATCAAGAATCTGGACTTTTGGTCCAAACTCATCACACTTATCGTCTCCATTATCGAGGAGGACAAGAACTCCTACACTCCCTGCCTAAACCAGTGAGTCTCCACATCCCTCCTACTGTATATGTATTCTCTTCTATTCACCCAGATCCTTTTTGATTTCATTTCCTGCTCCATTTCCTCTCTTCAGTTTCTTCTTAAGCTCTTATCTGCTCACTCTGTTTGATAAAGCTTCTCCCTCTAAGTGCACATACAGTAAGCCTTTCTATTTCTCTCCTCCATCAAGATTTCCCCAGGAGCTCAACGTGGGTAAAATCAGTGCTGAAGTGATGTGGAACCTGTTTGCTCAGGATATGAAGTATGCAATGGAGGGTGAGTGCAGGCCATCATACACTGAGCCTCTGAACTGACTGAGCTTTGACAAAACACTGAAGATTTGTAAGATAAATGTAGCCACTAACAAGGATTTGTGTGGTTCAGACATACTGGCACTAATGACTTCGGACACACAAACCATGAAAGGGTTTAGCTGTTCTCTTTTAATGATGTGTACAGAGTTGTTTTTATCTGTTTCAATTTATGTAAATATGGTAGGAAAAAGGACGTTTTAATTGCCATTTGACTGTTCGTTCATCAATTTGGATGAAACTTGGTAGGATGTTTTCAAATACTACTTCGATATGGTAAGTCACATCCGCTAAAAGTATTGGAAGACTTATATTATTAAACATATAGTAAATTGATTCTAAATTCCAGCTTATTTGCTTTACTTACTTCTTTATTGGATCCCTAGCTTCCAGAAAAAGTGTCCCTTGTTGGCGCCCACACGGGGTGCTTTTTATTCGTAAAGCTTTATTCTGATGATAGCTCATTGTCATCTTAGTACAGTATCATGCATGGATGATAACCAACAGATATATATATAATAAAAGAATAAATCAAATGTGTATAAGTCTCCAGTATTCTAGTGTCTCACATACAAAGTTTTTTAAAGAAAAAATAAACATTTCTCCAAGTGAAAGGTCATAAACACTTCTCAGGATGATTAATATTTGATTTATTTCATAAAATTGGGGTCTTCTCTTGATAATCTAGGTTTTCAGTTGAGCTTTGACAACTCAATAACATTATTCTCTAATCAAATAATGTATGAGTCTGTGAGCAATGAGGGTTCAGTGCTTCTGAATACAAAATAAAAATGTAGTAATTACTGTTGGACTTTAAGCATAGGAGAGAAATTAGCCTTTTATTCAACATGCATTTGATTGCTTTATTCTTTCTTTCAGAACATGAAAAAAATCGCCTGTGCAAGAGTGCGGATTACATGAACCTGCACTTTAAGGTCAAGTGGCTGTTCAACGAGTACTGCAAAGACCTGCCCTTCTTCAAGAGCAGAGTGCCTGAATATCCTGCGTGAGTAGCAACTCCTTGACGCCTATCCAAAACAGAAACTAAAAATAAAGCAATGGAAATCCTCATCTTGTCAATTTGCGATCCTAGTTTGTGAATATGTTCATATCTTCGTATCTTCTGCCCTCCACAGGTGGTTCGAGCCATTTGTCATTCAGTGGCTGGACGAAAACGAGGAGGTGTCTCGGGACTTTCAACATGGTGCTTTGGAAAGAGACAAAAAAGATGGGGTAAAAGTTTCCAGCTCTCTTTATCTCCCATTCACTCCTATGAAAGCGCTGACTTGTTGTTGTTGTTGTTGTTGTTCAAGCAGAATTACTGTAATCCATCCTTTGTACTTCCTCTGTCACACTCAAAGTTATCAGCCACAGTTTCATCCTCTTTCTGCCGCTCTGCCTCCCACACTTTGCCCGCTCCTCAAAGTGATTTATTGAATTCTTCAAAGGCAATAAGTGAAGCATGGATACGGCAGGAAAGACTTGAGATTGAAGTAGAACGTGTTCCTCGGATTCTTATCCGGGTGTTTCCGTCAAAGTACTCTTTGGAAGTTTATAGAAGTGCGGTCTAGGCGTGCATGCGCTTAAGGCGGCAGTGAACCGCAGTGACAGTAGGATATTGTGAATGAATGGCCTTATTCTAGAGTTTGACTGCAGGAGAGCCGTCTGCACCTTATTACCCAGATTGCCCGGAGGAGCACCTTCACACTCACCTCCGGCCAATTAGGGACAAAGAGCTAACCAGCAGCCAATTACAGGGAGATAGACAGGAGCTCCCACCTGTCACCCAATGGCTGTCTAACTCGCTCTATGGCTGGTTGGCTCTAAGAGGTCTCCCGCTTGGTTCATGTGATCGAAAATATCAAAGGTTCAGTTTAAATGTGTCTCTAATGATCCGTCTATTTTGTGTGAGGGGCCCAGATGTCACATCTAACCAGGCCCCTTAAATCACATCTTCTCACCTGCTGCTCATAAATTGTCACTTATGCCTTTTCCAAGTTATTTTCATCCCAGTTTTTAAACTTCTCGCACACCTTTTCTACCCTACAGTTCCAGGTCACATCCGAACATGCTCTGTTCTCCTGTTCGGTGGTGGACGTGTTTTCTCAGCTCAACCAGAGCTTTGAGATCATCAGGAAGCTAGAGTGTCCGGATCCACAGATCGTAGGACACTACATGAAGCGATTTGCTAGGGTAAATACAGTTTGCAGTAAAATCACACTTTACAAAATCAATGTACAACAAACGGGTCTTTAAAAGTTGTTTTCAGAACAGCTTTATGATGATAACATGTTGCCCTTTCTTGTTACCCTTTCAGACCATCAGCAATGTGCTCTTATCTTATGCTGATGTCATTTCCAAGTTGTTTGCCAACTATGTCACCATGGAGAAAGTGGTAAGTGGTCGAAAACTGGATGAGTCTGTGAGGGTTTTCACAATCAGCTCTTGGAGTTCTAATATATAATAGTCTATATAATACACATTCGAGTCTTAGTTAAGCGCTGTTGTTAAGTAAAGTAAGGTCATGGTTGTTATATGATTGTTTTATTGAATCCTGTACCCACAAGATAAAGATCTATTTGTCTTTCTGTCCTCAGCCCTGTATCCTGATCAACAACATCCAACAGCTGAGGGTTCAGCTGGAGAAAATGTTTGAAGCTATGGGTGGAAAAGATGTTAGTCACTTTTTTTTTACTCTGGAGTTCAATATCCCGACCGAATATTGACAGGCTTATTTTTTTTTTTTTTTGGTATTTGGTCACATGCCTTATCCAGACAGTCCCAAATGTGTCCATAAGGGGTATTACTATTGCAAAACTCTCTGCCCAATCACATAACAAGCTCTGTGTGTGTTTCCATATCCGTACTTTAGCTGTGTGTGGAGGCCAGCGATTTTCTTAAGGACTTGCAGATTAAGCTCAACAATGTCATGGATGATCTCAGCAGGGTCTTTGCTGTCAGGTAATAACACGCTCACACAGAAAGTCATTCATGCAAGAGTTTGACATTAATGTGATGTATATTTTTAGATTTACTGACGATGCAGACTTTGTTAATATCTCTTTGTACTTTTCCCTTGTAGTTTCCAGCCTCACATAGAGGAGAATGTGAAGCAGATGGGAGACATCTTGGCTCAGGTGAAGGGAACCTCGAATGTGGGAAACGCCAGCAGCGTGGCCCAGGATGCCGACAACGTCCTGCAGCCTATCATGGAGTTCCTTGACAGCAAGTGAGGCAGTCTGTTATTTTAATAGAATCTAAATGGGAACATGTATTACTTTTACCTACTTAGAAATAGTGATAGGTTATGCAAACACAACAATGGACACAGTTTTGTCTCTTAATGCAATTGTAATGGTCTGGTGGATGTCTGATGTTAGGGAATACATTTTTACTTTATTTTATAGCCATGTAATGGATTTTCTTAAGCTAACATTATTGCTCAAACAGAGACATAAGAAGGACTAAGAAAGGCATTGCCTTACTCTAGGTAAGTATAATCAGGAGATAAATTCCCCAAAATCTGAGCTTCTGGGCTTTTCTGACAAGCCTTCAAGCTAGGGATTTTAAATCCGCGGTCGCCTCCTTCTGCTGCTTATTATTCATCGCTCCTTCCTCTCTCCTGTCTCGCCCTCCTGCCAGCCTGACTCTGTTTGCTAAGATCTGTGAGAAGACAGTGCTGAAACGTGTGTTGAAGGAGCTGTGGAAGCTGGTGATGAACACCATGGAGAAGACCATTGTCCTGCCGCCACTCACGGACCAAACGGTGAGAGTGAACAGACGAACGAACACACACACACAGAAACACTAAGTCGTACAAATACACACAGAAATGCTGCTGAGCCACACATGTCGGCACTCATTGCACCCTGTGCCTGCTGTACATGCAAGGACATGTTTAGTGAGGATCTGCTCATGCACACACACACACACACACGCACGCACACACACACACACACACACACACACACACACACACACACACACACACACACACACACACACACACACACACACACACACACACACACACACACACACACACACACACACACACACATTCAAGGGATCTGTTTCCCAGAAAGCTTACTGATTATTTTGTATAAGTGACCACAAATATTTGGTCTGATGATGACCAGTTAATAAGGTAGATATAAAAAAAGGAATGGACAAAACATGTAACACACATACTTCCAAGCATGCACAAATACATACTATCACACACCTCCAAGAGGAGGATATGGAGAACAAGGAAGGGAATACAAAGGCAGACATTTTGTGTGTGTGTTGTGATTTAAGATGGCCCCCTTATAAACAAATGATCAATCTACTTTTTCTCCACATATGGCTTCCTTTCCACACATTATATTTAGCATCGCCCCCAGTGCCTTCATTCATCCAAACAATCAAGATGAAACCCTGTTTTTTGGGTTAAAAATACAAAAGGAGTGCACCATATCATTCTAACACCAGCTCATGGCTGCTCTCCAGTATGTCAGACAACAATTATCCTGAGAGATTTCTGATTTATGAGTAACTCATATCAGAGTGGCAGAAATATTTTGCCCGAAGGATCTGGCCCACTTTCAAAAAGAATCAAACATTTTGGAAAGCAGCCTCTTGTTTTCTTTTGTTTTTGGATATATGTGTTCTTATTTGTGTTTGGTTATTAACTAAAGAGCCTCATGTCACTGATAATAAGGTGATTATTGATCTCTGTTCACCATTTACAGCAAAAGCCAGTTATCTACACAACTGGTTGAGCCTCAGTAGCCATTGGTAAGCAATTAGCCCCTGTTCCAATGAGTTCATCCAATCAGAAAAAAGAAAGAGCAACAAAAACAGGATATATTGGACTCACGCAAATGCCACATAATCATCTCTATAATAGATATTTATCCATTTGAAGTTGCTAAGAAAAAGCTATAACTCTTATATCTTCTATTCTTTTAAATGTTGCTGTCTTAAAGTTACTAATTTGCTGGCCCCTCTCACTTCCTGACCTGTACTATAAGTCCAGGCTTTAGACAGGTCCCAATTGGTCCACGTCCCTCCAGCCCTGAGGCCCAAACTTGTGTTTTTTGATTGATGTGGGGCTCTTTGCAGCTTTGACTGACCCTTCTCTCTGGTTGTTGTCGTTGTGATTACAATTACATCCCGCTCCCACCGCTCTTCTTCCACAGATGATTGTAAGTACAGCACTCCTGCGTGTGTGTCTGTCTGTCCGTCCACGGTGGTTGGTTCTCTGCTATATGTGGCTGCGATCTTCCCCTGTTTTTTACCCCACATCACACCCTCTCCCTTTTCACTTTCAAACCTGTCTTTTTCCTCCTCTGCTGTGGTTTCTCCTCCCTCCTTTTCTTCCTCATCCCTTTTCTTTTCTCCACTTCTTCTTCTTCTTCTTCTTCCTCGTCTGTACTCCACTCTAGTCTTCCTCATCTCTTCTCTAATTTTCTGCAACCTCTTCTTATTCCTTCTTCCAACGCTGTCTCTCTTTTGAGAAGACAGAAGCATGGTGCATTCCTGACTGGTTTTGATAGGTCCCACACCCCTCTCAATAATCTCCACCAATCAGTGCCCCTCTCCTTTGCTGTCATCTTCCTGAACACTCTCCTCAAACAGGAAGTGGTACTCCTCTCTTGCGCCCGGTCTTGCCTTGTTTCTTCTCATGCATTGTGTCCTTTTACTTGGACTCTGGTGGGGTGACTCTGATCTCTCGGTGGCTTGGTATCCAGTGTCCTGCCCCCCCCCTCAGCCCCTTTTCCTCCTTCTGAAAACCTCCGCCCTTCCCCTACTGTCCCCACCTGTTTGAAATGTGTCCCCCTTTCCACCGCCCACTGTGGGTTTGTTGCTTGCATCTGATCTATTTCAACACTGCAGTCTTTTCTCAGTATACTGTACAACACTGTACTGTATGTCTCTGCAGACCTGTCATGTTGGTCTGTCCTGGTTTGATTTCATGTTCTGTTGTTACTATGCTGATTGAAATGCTGGGATTATGTCACTGGTTTCGATGTACAGAATGACTTTTCTGGTTTGAGGTAAAGTTGGTTAAAAACAGTGCATTCAATGACCTATGCAAAAAATACTCTCAATGTCTTAAAGTTATTTTGTATGACTCCTACAGAATATAACAAAGTATCTAGTTTAAAATAAGACTGTGTTGAATTTCTATGCTGTGTTTTACTTGACAGTGCACAGGCACATTTTTTAGAAGCACAGGAAGTCCTGTGTTAGTGATGCGTGTTAATCTGTTCAAATGATCTGCAGCGGTTTTTTAATTGTTTATTATCAACTGTAACCACTGGTTGTAAACATATAGTGTATTTACTATTTACTATAGTTAAATAATAATAAGGAACATTATTATTTTTGTATCAGTACGATAAGTAAGAGCTATTTCATTTATACAGTTGGGTCCTTTAATCTTTATAATGTTTACATTACACCACAAACTACAACTAGAGTTTGATCTCTTCTCCTTTAGAAGAACATTTAGTTAATTAGTCTTATTTGCTTTTGTGTCTAAAGTAAGATAAGATTATTCATACTACTTTCATATCTTTGCAATAAGTATAGAGCGAGAGCCGGGAGTAGATTAGCTTAGTTTAGTTTACCTTTCCCATTGTTTTCAAGCTGTATGCTAAGCTAAAATATTCCTCTCTGTCATCCTCGGCATGCGTGCAATAAGCGTATTTTTGCAAAATGTTATAAAAAGTGTTTGTATTTGTATGTAATGAATAGGATGGTTGTTATCACGATGACATTGGATATCATCATGTGCTTTTAGTCACTTTTGGATCGTTACTATAGTAAATAGCATGTAAACGTATTATAGTGACCTGACCTCATATCTGACTTTATAAGTGCTGTCTTGTAAATGTAGCCTCTCATAAAAAAGCACACTAATGGATTTCAACATGCAGCGAAAGCAAGTTTTGACAGAATCCATTTACTCCTGTCAGCATAAATGCTAACCTCTCTGCTCTGCCAGCAGGCGATTTGTTAAACTATGTTGTCTTTGTTTTTGCGAGAAAGCACAAAATGTGATGCTGTTGCTTTGAAGTGAAAGCTAATTAACTACCTGAAAGGACCTGACATCTCCAGGCAGTTAAGAGTACATTTTCTACATTTTGCAAAGCAACATTATGCACTTTTGATTGCATATTGTCATTTAGCCAATGAGAGTGAAGTCAGACTGCAGGGCCTCTGCTTGAAGTATTAACCACATGCTCTCTTTGCAGGGGAGGCTGAAGAATGCTTCTCACAGTGATGTAAGGACTAAACCCCTTTAGATCAATGTGTCTTGTCTCCCTCCTCTATGTCTTCTCTCCGTGTCTTCGTCTCGCTCCCTCAGCTCGCCAGTCAAACAAAGCAGTTGAAATATTGATTTTTCACTTTTGTTTTTACACAACATCCCTCTTTAGTGCTGTTTATATGGTGTGAGTAATGCTGTAGCAGTAGCTGCCTGCTCTCCCAGCCTCACCGCAGGTCATACACTCTAATCGACGTGCAACCATTTGCGGCTCAAACGCACCACAATCCATAGGTCAAACGTCACTTAATTCCATTCAGTTTTAAAAAAACAATCTGCAGGTTTTTGGCAGCAATGCATCACAGACGGAAAAATAGGTTGTAGTTCAGCTGCAAATTGCTTTGTGAGTAAAAGCGGCTGAGCTTAATGAGCCACATGAGGCAAAGTAAGTGACGGTTGGCATTTTAACCTGTGGCTTATGGTCTATTTAGCCGCAAAAGTGTGCTGTCAGTTTGACATCATGTAGCCGTAAAAGGTGGCTGTAAAGCCTAAATCTAGTATTTGAAAAAACTTCATTAAGTTGAACATCACAGTTTCAATTGTGCACACTTTATATGTGATGGTATTTTAAACAATATTTAATATTGAATATGTTTTAGCCTTAAACAGTATATAATAACAGATGATTTCATGCTTAAGGCTTTAACCAAGGATGTCATTTAAAGGTCACATTCTGTATAGTGAATAAATATGCTCTTACCAGAGTTTCACATCAGGCTGGACATCCAGGAAATACCTGCGTACACCACAGTGTGTGTGAGCGTTTATGTGTGTGTGTGTCTGCACGTGTGTCAAGATTGCACTAGTGTGTCTTCTTTCTTACTACGAGCTGAACCACTTTCCCTTCTCTTCGTGTGTGTGTGTGTGTGTGTGTGTGTGTGTGTGTGTGTGTGTGTGCGTGTGCGTGTGCGTGTGAAATGTTTTGCATTAAATGAAACACAGAAAAGTTTGATAAAGCACTTACAGGAAAAAGTACCTTTGGCGGTTTAGAGTGACTGTCTGTTCATGAATGTGTGTGTCAGGAACGTCGCTGTGTCCTCTGTGTGACACTAAGCCTTTTACTGCTGCCATGCGTTGTCCTGATAATAACAATACTCTTCTCCTTCTTTCTGTCTACCTTTCTTCTATCTGTCTCTTGCAGGGCACTCAGCTCATCTTTAACGCCGCCAAGGAGCTGGGACAGCTGTCCAAACTGAAGGTGCTTTTTATTTTCTCTGACAATACTTCAGATCAAGACTGATCTCTAATTGCCTAGAAAAAATAAATGGACTAATGGATCCTTTTGTTCTGTGCTTCTATTGTTGTCCGTGTTCAGGAGCACATGGTTCGAGAGGAAGCTAAAGCTCTCTCCCCGAAGCAGTGCGCTGTGATAGAGCTGGCCCTGGACACCATCAAGGTAGAAACTCACTGTTAGGAGCCATGTTAAATGTTTTACAAATACATATTTATGGCTAGTGGAAATGACATGAAATCACAATATATGCCTTGGTTTTAAAACTCAGCGTTGCGCTCTAGAAGTTTTCTACAAGGATGCGGTGTATAGAGTCCCCATCTGTCAGAGTCTGAGGTTTACTTTTGTGACTAAAGTCATTTATTCTTTTAGGTGATTACAACCTTACATGTTTCCTTATAACTATAACTAATGTAGGAACATCTGCTAAAGTATTTTAAGAGGCAAAAATGTTTGAAAATGATCTACAAATAACTCTATTGATGGTTTGAGCTTTCCAATATGCAAATAAAATCAATAATGACCATGGAAACGCATAGCATTCATTAAAGGTGGGGTATGTAATTTATTTCAGAAACACTTTTTGTTATATTCCATGGAATGCTCTTAACATCCCGATAGCAATGAATATATTAAATGCTTTGACAATAAATACATACAAAAAATGTCATCTGTGGAAGCCGTGGTACTGTAAAAAGCATGACCAATCATCTGAGCCGGCCCGGCTAAAATAACTGAATGGCCTACCTGCCTGTCAGCCTTCCATCTGTGCACAAACTTATCTTGTGCCCTCATTGGTCATGTGCGCGTTCGTGTGTGTTGGAGGAGGGGCTCTGTAAGGAAGTGGCAGATTCTTTCCGGTTGTGTATTTTCAAATTCTAGCGATCTCGAGTTGGTTTCTCCAAAATTACCTACCCCACCTTTAATTTCTAGCAACTTGCGCTACAAAGACAAACACCATTATAACTTTGGTTCATAGTTCATGTTCTTTCTGATTAACAGTTAAAAACAAAAAGAATATTCAGTTTATATAAACAATAACACAAAGAAAAAGCCTCTTAATACCCACATTTAGAGCCTTTATCAAAATAGTTTTTGAATGATTTCTTGTGTATCAACTAATAGCATAGTCATCTTATTGATCAATCAACAACCATTGCATTACATTTTAAATTCCTTTTTTCTGTCTTTGTGTATTTTAGCAATATTTCCATGCTGGTGGTGTGGGTCTGAAGAAGACTTTCCTGGAGAAGAGTCCTGACCTCCTGTCTCTGCACTACGCCCTGTCGCTCTACACCCAGGCTACAGACAAACTCATTAAGACCTTTGTCTCCTCACAAAACGCACAAGGTAACCTTACGATCTTTACTCTCTGTGACACTTTTCCCTTCCTCCTTCTTTGGGAGACTTGTAATCCTCTTTATTTGCCGTATCTTCATTTTCAAAGTGTATCACATTACATAACTCTCTGAAAGAGGTCAGCCAATCCTAGTTTGTGTTAAGCAAGGCTTTCCCAAATGCTGAGCTGTATATCCTGCACATTTCACTCATGCTTTGTAGAGCATGAAGTCTAGGCTGTGGCTGCACAACAGTTCTCTGATCTGAAATGCTGAGTCTCGTTGTAGCCAGCCTTGGGAAACACAGAGGCTATTCTTTACACGATCTGACAGCTATTTGAAAAAATAAATACCCACCCCCTCTTTTTCTCTCGCTCTTTGATTCTGTTGCTCAGCCTCCATCCTACCGTCAGATGGCTACATAACAGCCATCATCTTCGTGGAAACGCTGCCGCTGACACACTGTCCCCGAGCGCCGCTGGTAGAAATGCCATTTGAGCGGATGATCGTTGAAAATCTAATTAGCAAAATGCCATGTGGTTTTCGGGGGAAACCTAAGTCCATGTTGCATGTTGCAGGATTTCACAGCAGATAAGAAGAACTAAAAAGAGCTGATATGAGTGTGTAATCAATGTATCAGAATCTCTCCCAACTCTAGGAACGAGACTTATAAATGTCTGTCTGTCTGTTTTTCTACTCTGTTATTCTAACGTTCAACTCTGCAAACGTTTCTTCTTTCTCTGTCCACTCCCTCCTTGTGCCCCGTCTGTGGGCCAGTGTTCGGCGGGAAGGGGGTGAGGTTCACCACTAGTGAGGATGTTTACCCAGAAAAGGGTATGTGGCATTCAGGTTCAGGGCCTGAGACATCAAGGACCACCAGAAAGCCTCCAGACCAAAGCCCAACTCCCTCCACCCCACCCCATGTGCATCCCAAAACCCCCCTGCCTGCTCAAACTCATCTCAACAGACAAACACAATGCACCGATTGATCTATCCCTGCCTCCCTGCACACACATACTGTACATGCATCATCGTAACAATGAGAACATAGACGTTATGCATCAAAGCATGTAATGTACACACTGATGTCTGTATGTAAGGAACTGCACTGAATACATTCGCAATGGAGTGTATGTATGAGCAGACACTAAAGCATGATGCGCTGACATCAGACCAAAAGAATAGGAATGCATTCAAGTGTGAAGGAATCCTGATCCAGCATGATGTCACCCAGAGAGGCCCGAGGGCTGAGCGAGTGTGAGTGTGTGTACACGTGGACGAGAGGAAAAGTGACTGAGCAGAGCCAATGTGATTGAGTGAGACTGTCCTTAAGGTTGTTGAAGCAGAAGCACACTGTATCGTCTTCTCCCAGCGAGGAAAACCGAGAGGAAATCCTTTCCCCCCCCCCCCCCCCGGCGCTCCCACCCCTGCCAGTGTTAAAAGACGCTGATGGAGAGGATTAGGATTATTATGAAGAATTATGATGGCTCATTTTTGTCTGGGAGGGCTCCCTGTCCTCGCTTGCTCATCACACACAAACACACACAGACACATACACGTTAAAACACACACAAATAACTCCCACGTGCAGCACGATGAGAAGGGGTGCCCAACTCAACCCCCCCCTCGCTATACAGATTGAGCCAATCAGAAATAGTCCCTCAGGTCATGTGGTCTGATTTCTGTCACTTTAGATTAGTATGGAAAGGTTTGACTCTCAAACACTCACACAGAAGCACTTTAGTTGGAGCTGCAAAAGCTCCAGCACACTGACAGTGCTATGCAAAGTGGTGAAGGCTCCAGAGAAATACTTAGAAAATATATATTGCATACCAAGTTGTGTTATATCCTCTGGAGAGAAGCCAATGAGATATGTATGAAGGCAGTATATGCAGCAGAATATTGCTGAAAATGACACTTTGAAACTCAAAACAACACAGCATTTGTGCTTTGTTTATACTCAAGTATAAGTCTGAAATTGTGTAACCCTAGTTGCCTTTTTTTGGTTCGCATGACGGACAGACTATAACCTGATGGAAGGTCTCATCACGGGGGAGTTCAGTCCACACACATTTTTACTCAGACATTCGGACGGTTTTAAAGTAAAAAATGTTTATTGATATGCTCTCAGTGGCTATACATTCTAACATGACATTTCCAGTAGTTTTCCAGTTAGGTATTCATGCTTATGAAATGTCTCTGTCTCCATACATAGAGAACAAAGTGTCTTCATCCTTCCCAACAGCTGCTAGATGTCCTTGACTGTAAGGATGCAAATGAACTTCCTGCCAAGCAGCTTTCTCTGGATAGTTTTTAGAGTAGATGATTAGAGCAGCATGACTGTTTGAGGCTGAGTGGAGTTTCATTCTTTTTATCTCCACCATAGCTTGGATGACTGTCATCCTTACATACTGCGGGCTATGAGCTGAATGATTTGTAACAGAAATAATCAAAGGTAATTCATATTTATGCGTCAACTTTCGTGATGCTTTGACAGTTTGACTCAATCACAGCTCAAGTTTGACATTTAATGTACATTCTGGTGAAGATTTCCAATATGTTGGGGAAATGTGCCCGTCTGAATGCAGTGTTTATTGGAAAATAAAAACCTGCTTACTCCTGGCAACATATTCCTGCCTCCCAGCCAGAAAAGTTTCTTTCTCATCTTTTATGGATGTCGTCCATAGAGTAGACAAGCCCAGATGGATGACTGCTGCTCCCTTTGGTCCCGTTGGCAGCGAGACCAACAATCCCATAATGCTCCCTGGAGAGATGCAGAGAGCTGCATGCCAGGAACACACTGCCGTCTAACTCCCACAGACACCTTGTTTAGTGGGCGGCTGGTTGGAAACACACACACACACACACACACATTCACACAGGCTGCTGGTAGCGCCACAGAGATACCGTTGACAAAGTGAAGACACTAATTAAAACATTGAACATGTATGCCCATCTGTCACCATATCCTTGTGGATAGGATATGCTGGACCACTTGCAGCACAAACACACAAACTAAGGAATTCATTGTCCACCTTCTCCCTCCCAGACAAAAGAGTTGGGGTGTGAGTGGAGCCATCACTATCTTCTTTATCCTAAAATAGTCTTACAGCTAGAAGTATAGAACCAAACCAAACCAAGAGCTTAACTTGAGCCAGAGTGCAGAGTTGAGTTATCTTGGATCGGGGTGAGCCGACCCAAAGTTATATGTATTTTAGGCTTTAAATGCAAAGATATCTCTGACTTTAACCATTCGTTTGAATAATATAAGTAAAATGTAAGTCCTGTCCTTACAATTCATTTATACAGAGAAAACTCCTCGAAGGTCTTTACAACGTGTACACCATACAACACTTGTAGTACTCTTACAGGACATACAGACATTCAATACTGTCAAATGTATAGGGAAAACAGGGAAAAACATTAATATTAATGAAAGAGTACATTTATATTTGGAGGGCAATCAAGAGCGCCGGCCTATGGCTTTGGCCATCATTTGGGTCCAAAATGTATGTTAATAATAGTTCTCTTTGGCTCATGCTACCCTCTTACATGATTCATACAAATCGGACGCTTTTTCTGTATTCCTGCTGACAAGTAGATAAACGAACCCCACTGAAATCATATCCTCCTTGGCGTAGATAGAGGATATCGACCTGGAACTTCATTTGAAGTCCTCCAGATGCTCATCACACATTATTGGGAAGGATATCAGTGATGCCGTTCTTCACTGACAGATCTGAGAGGCTGTGGTGCTTCTCTCTTCACACGCTTCTTCTCCTTTCTTGCCCCTCCTCTTTCCATGCTTGGATAAAAAAAAGTTTACCAAGTAATGGGTGCGTCCACCTGTGTAGATCCATCTGAGCATGTCAGGAAAACCACACTGTGGGTTTACTTTCTCCAGCTTCTTCTCTGCCTCTAAATAACCACCCTGCATCCAAACAGACAACTTGCATCTATGAGTGGGCACAAATTACCGTCCTCACTGATCCTAATGATCGCCTTTCAATCGCTGAATCTGTGCAAAGGCTATTCAGTTGTTGCCTTACTGGAAAAACTAAAAGTTGTTTCAGGTCAGGGCAAAAGTATGTATAGTATGTTGAACATTTCAGAAAAATAGACATAGTATAGTTTGTCAAAACAATTATAAAGTATAGTATGTCAAAAATATGGCAGAATATATTATGTTAAAATATCAGAAAAAAACACATAGTATAGTGTGTCAAATAATTTGAGAAAAATACGACGTAGTGGCTTAATACAGGAAGCTTCTGTAGAAAATATTTTAAATGCATTACAGAGAATTACTGAAACTACCTTTTAAATCGTTTGCCCACTCATAGCAGCTCTGTCTTTCCACTTCAAGACCACAACAGCTGCACCAACAGATCACTACGCCTAAGTTTACGTCCTCCTGTTACATAGTGATTAGTTCATTATTTAAACAAATGTGCGCATATTCAATATTCCGTTTAATATCCAAAAGGTTTAAGTCAAATCCATTTCAATGTTCACTTTATTAAATTGAAATGGAATTGTTCTGTAACCTTTCAAAATGAGGAGGACGATCTGGGCCCAGTGGTTTGTGTGAGTGTTTGGTCTGAGAGAGAAGCAAGAGGAGTCCATGTTTCCCCATTTGAAGGCTTAAAGGGGAAAGCCTGACTCTCTGTCTGTCCCCTCAGGATCTGGAGTGGACGATGCTGTCGGAGAGGTGTCCATCCATGTGGAGATTTTCACCCATCCTAACACAGGAGAGCACAAGGTCACAGTGAAAGGTAAGGGACTACTTTTCATACTCACAATAACACAACTTAATAACTTTTTCCTAAAAGTCCTATGAATGAAATCAGAACAGCTACTGAGTTGCATGTCAACAGATCTAAGCAGGCACATTGATTTTGACCTGGGTGTATCTCTATCAGTTGTATGAAATATGACCAATTTGTTTTACATTATACAGTTTGTAAACAGGTTGTACTGTCAAGATATTCTTTATATTCTGCAAGATATACGGTGCTTAGAAAAAAGTACTAAACCACTGAGGAAAATATCACATTATATTGTTTTAAAACATTGAATCAAACTATATTTGATATGGCTTGATCCACATGTCGGATTAATGACTGCACAAATCTAAACGATAATCAAATTCAATATCATATGGCAAAGGCATAAATGCCTTTTAGCATGCAAAGAAATATACGACTTTAATTAAGTAATATATAAAGTATCCCTCATCTCATTATGAATATGGCACCTGAGGGAGGACCAGCATTTTCTTGTTTTTTTATTTTCTGTTAACTCGTGTTTTTTTACCGCTCCGAAATGTTCACATATTTTCTCCTCATGAATCTTTCTCTCGCTTTCTCTCACCCACACCTTCCCACTCTCCTCCCCTCTCTCCGTCTCAGTGGTGGCTGCCAATGACCTGAGGTGGCAGACGCAGGGAATATTCCGGCCATTTGTGGAGATCTATATCATCGGCCCTCACCTCAGCGACAAGAAGAGGAAGTACGCCACCAAGTCGAAGAACAACAGCTGGGCCCCTAAATACAATGAATCCTTCATTTTGTGAGTAAAAATACTGATGAGTTGTGTTTTTGTTTGTTTTAAGGTTTTAAGGTTAGGTTTCATAGTTTAGTATGTCAATAAAATCTGAAAGAAAAGACAGGATATTAAGTTGAATATATTAGAAAATGTGTCATACGATGAAATGTCAAATCTACACGAAAAAGTATATAGTATGTTGAAATTATGAGAAAAACAAAGACACAGTATATTATGCCTTAAAAAACATATAATATAGTATGTCGAAAAAAACAACACAGTTTAGTATACCGAAAAAATCAGGAAAGATGACAGGATATTAAAGGTGGGGTAGGTAAGTTTGAGAAACCGGCTCGAGATACACTTTTTGTTATATTCCATGGAATGCTCTTAACTTCCCGATAGCAATGAATATCTTAAGTGCTTTGACAAAAAATCCATAAAAAAATGTCATCTGTGGAAGCCGTAGTACTGTAAAAAGCACGACCAATCATTTTAGCCGGCCCGGCTAAAATAACTGGATGGCCTACCTGCCTGTCAGCCTTCCATCTGTGCACAAACTTATCTCGTGCCCTCATTGGTCATGTGCGCGTTCGTGTGTGTTGGAGGAGGGGCTCTGTAAGGAAGTGGCAGATTTTTTCCGGTTGTGTATTTTCAAATTCTAGCGCACTCAAGCTGGTTTCTTAAACTTACCTACCCCACCTTTAAGTTCAAAATATCAGAACAAATGTCATAGTATGAAATGTCAAATATATACGAAAAAGTATATGGTATGTTGAAAATATGAGAAAAACACATAGTATAGAATGTGGAATTAGTTTTTTTCAAAGTATGTGGTAGATATCAGAAAATAGGGCATGTAGAACCTGTGTGATGAAATCTTCTCCTCTGAAACAACATATGTATGTTGAAATTATCAGAAAAACAAAGACACAGAAAAGTATATGGTATGTAGAAAATATGAGAAAAAACACATCGAATAAAGAAAAGAAAAAACGACATTGTATAGTACATCAAAACTATAAGAAAAAAATGACATAGGGCCTGTAGAACATTTGTGATGAGATGATATCCTGTCCTCTGCAGCACTCTGAGCAGCGAGGTGGGGCCTGAGTGCTACGAGCTGCAGGTGTGTGTGAAGGATTACTGCTTCGCGCGAGAGGACCGCACCGTGGGCATGGCCGTCCTGCAGCTGAAGGACATGGCTTCCAAAGGCAGCGTGGCCTGCTGGCTGCCGCTGGGGAAACGCATCAACATGGACGAGACGGGCCTCACCGTCCTGCGCATCCTCTCCCAACGCAACAACGACGACGTGGCCAAGGAGTTCGTCAAGCTCAAGTCGGACCAGCGCTCGGCAGAGGAAGGCCGCAGCTAAAAGACACAATTAGTTTAACAAAAATGTTTGAAGCTCAATCAGACGTCGATACCTACTGCCCTGGAGCTCTCCTGAGCCTCTGCTAGCCACTGCCCTGCTGATCCAGTTTTGTAAAAGCACAGATAACAGTCACCACACATCCAGTGCTGTAAATACACCCATGTCAGTAGGTAGAGTACAGTGCTGAACAACTCATCTTTCATTTTCCTTAAAAACGCACCTGTGTCTTCAACGGTGCAGATATTATCAGCCATCCTTTTGATGAAAAATTACATAGAGTTTAATCATACAGCTTATATCTACTTTCCTCTGTCTGTAGAGGTTAGTCACGCCATTAACACACACACACCTCAATCTACTAGTTAAGAACATATATTGTAGCCTTTAATATGTTGGTTTACAAGAAGTATAGGACCAGCCCTAAGCACAACTGACCAATTCAAAACAATGGCTGAAAAAGGCCTTTAACATTCCAGATATCGGGCGCGGAACAGAGATAATTAAAATATTTATTTATAGTTATTTTCCAAATTATATTTATATTCTAATAATTCAATATATCATAATATACAATATATGAAGGACATATGTAACGTTTTATGCAGGATTGTTCAATGGACGTGTGGGATTTGAAAGATTGTCCTAGTCTGTCTTTCTGTCCGTCTACCCGGTAACAGAGCACACTGCCTGACACCCTCAATGCCTTCTGTCTCGTTGACCCTCGTATCGTCTGTATGGAGAGATGAATCTGATGAAAACACGCCTTCAAGCACTGTGATTCATCTGTGTGTGTGTGTGTGTGTGTGTGTGTGTGTGTGTGTGTGTGTGTGTGTGTGTGTGTGTGTGTGTGTGTGTGTGTGTGTGTGTGTGTGTGTGTGTGTTTTTTTGAGCGTGTGTGTGTGTCTGCGTGTGTGAGAATCTGCGTTTTTGAGCATGTGTGGAGCTCATAATGTGTGTTTGTAAAATGTTCCACTGTTGACCTCATGTAGCCGCCCGTGTTGCCTGTTACCTGCAAATATAATCACAGAAAGCCATCACAAGCTAAGAACTTCACACGGTTCACATTCAGATTAGATTTTAGAGGATTTACAAAGTGTCTTTTACTCGAGGGAGGGATCGTTCTTATATCTTATGATGGAGGATTTACATTTTGTTTTTGTGCTACTGTAAACATTCCCAACAGCCCTGTTCTTGACTGCCAATGGTAAAATGCTCTGAGGCTAAATATGTGTGTTATAAAAAACCACATCGCACCACATGAAGAGCATGAATAAGTGATGACCTATTACCCATGATCCCTCAGCTGCAGGTGCTATAACCCTGATACCTAGAAGCCAGACCTCTGATAAAGGGCTGCAGATCCAGAGCACACCAGGTCTGGATCTGACATTTAAAAGGGGGCCTACAGCTTAGTAGAGATGTAGTGTGGAAATCTAGAAGCACAGGGTCTTTACTGCACCCATAATAACACATCTATACTCTGATAATTTCATTTATTGTCCGGAAATTGCTTTTAAAATGACAGGAATTACACATCGAGGCGTCAATTCATCCTAGAGATATGTTAAAACTAAGTGTTTGAATTGACTGTCCAGCATGACTCTTAATTCTATTTTCATGAATGCCCGTTTTTTAAAAGATTGATTGGTTTATTTATATATGCGAGATGTGTATGTTTGTCGTGAAGGAAAAAAAAGAAGCATCCAGGCTGTTTAAAAAAGAAGAAAATCTACAGGGTGTTAGTTTTTTCTATTTCTGCCTCTTTTTTAAGTTCCCCCCCCCCCAAAGCACTTGTTCGTAAATGAATAATTTAACAGGACCCCTCTTTTGAACAAAGTGTAAGAACTGAACTCTATGCATCTAGTCTATAAAAATCTATGTAGATGAGTAATTTTCGAAGCAGTCTTATAATGTTTACATTGTGGATTATTCTTATTATATCAGCAAGTGTTTGTCTGATATGTTGTACATGCTGTCTCTCTTGTAATGGGCCAAATATCGCAGCTGTAGTAGAGCCGATTAGAGTCTGAGATTCGTTTGTACAGCCTTTCAGCGCTGAGGAAATTAATCTGGAACAGAGAGATCGATTATTGTCGTTGGGCGTTGTAAATAGCTCGAAACACGTCAGACTATGTGAAGTGAAGTTTGCTGCTCTTTTGTAGAATATTTGCTCTGGGTGCAGTTGACGATGTTGTGTGTGTGTGGGTGCCCAATTTGGATATGTAGCTATTAATGAAAGATATATGAAGACCATGTACACACTGGCGATGGAAAACAAGCCAATTGGATGATTTGATTGGCTGGATTAAGAGCCAAATGAACAAACTGCTAGCTTCTAACTTTAAGTCAAATAACCCATCTACCTATTTAAGTAAACTAAATCTAAACATGTTGTCCCTTTCCGGTGAGTACAAGGTTTACAAAGGACCTCTGCACAGTCTTTTAATAACTTTAAAAAACAGGTACACAACTGTCACATAGCTGGAAATGCCACGAAAAAAGAATCTTTATTTATTGCTGTTGACAATGATATTTCAGTCTCCTCCCTCAGAGGGTCAGTTTGCGTGTTGGGGTGTTGAATTGGCATGTATGCACACAGAAGTTAAGGACGCGTATAAATGTAGAAGCACAAAGAAAAGCACACAGACAGAGCGCAGACAGACATGCATGATCTGTCCTGTCTAGCTGACCCGGCCACGCAGACAGGCGGCTGCTCAGACAGTCCTGTACTTCCAGAAAAAGTGCATGATAGGAACAATGACACTAAAAAGAAAAAAATGTATTGTGCCAGCACGCATAACTACTTGATGTTAAACTGCCAATCGTTGTCTCCTTTTATTTTGATATTTCATTATTGTTTTCTATTTTTCAAATGTTTGTGAATATATAAATATGTATTACTGTGTAGTGATACAAAGTACTCGCATGAGAATTTTTTTATACACGAGATGTTTCTAATTTTTTGCGTTTTTTTTATTCTGGTTGTTCTTATTGGGGGTTAGGGTTACTGGGACTGCAGTCTCGTTGTGTTTCTGCTTCCAATAAAATATGAAAAAAGGCTTAATGTCATTGCTATTTCTTTCAAAATGCACCAAGATATATCTGCACATTTGCTAATCCTGACTACATAATTGCCTAATTTTATCCTTATCTTTACAACATTGTTTAAGCAACACCTCTTCATACCGTTTTAGTTATCTAAGATTTACATGATTAACCTGTGACCTTCTGCAGTTCAGTCACTAATCCACTGATAATTAACATATTAATTAAACAAGGTAAGTGCCACGATACAAAAATCAGGAATTAGGTTCACAACACCTCCTGGAAGTTATTTACATTTCAAAGGACTACATTAAATAGGTTGGAAGTTCAAATTAGATACAAAATTACCACATTTTTAATTGACAAGGGCATGCACGCTGTTCTAGGCTCTGCGTAGAAAGGAGATCTTGAGGGAGTCTGGGATGACTAACTGCTCAGCGTGGAGGGCGGCAGGAGGCGAGAAGGGAAATGTGACAGGAAACACTCGTCTCACATCCATGAGGAGCTGCGGAGGCTGGCCGTCAGAGGAGCCTTTCAGGAGACCCTGGAAGAGACAACTCACATGAGAAACACTGATTTAAATTATTAAAAACATGCAGGATTGAGACATTACCTGGACAGTACGGATGAAATTCAGTGTGACTCTTTCATCGAGGTCACCGTGGGGCGTGTAGAGGGTCAGGATCTTCACAATCTGTAAAATAAAACAGATATTATACTTTAACTGCATTTTTCTCTTATTAGGCCAAAAACAGACAGATGTAGACCCACCTGCTGGCTGGACAGGGCAGTGCAGGTCTGAACGAGGGCCTTTGCATCCGCCTCGCTCTTTTTCCCGGCCTGCAGCAGCTGAACCGCCTGGATGAGGGGCTCCAGTGTGGCCACAGCGCCCCCTGCCTGCAGCCCTTTGCTCCGCAGCCACTCCTCCAGCAGACTCACATTATAGCTTAGTGACAAAAGCAAACAAATAGGCTGATTAAACAGTTATTAAATATGTTTACTAAGATAACATCCTCTCAATGGGGTGAATACAATGATACAAGCACAGCGGGACAAATTAAATTATAAAAAAGGGTCATATACAATTCCATAAAAAAGTCATAGTATAGTATGTCATTGAAATCATAAAAATGTTATACTATAATACGTCCAAAAAGGCAAGTTATAATAGTGTTATATATGCATGCTACACAAATGTCATGTCAATACTTGTATGACATAAGATTACTTTTTTTGACATGTTTATGACATACTGTAATTACTTTTTTTTAGTGTGACTGCTTATATGGCGTGTTTAAGGCATTGTATTAAGACACTTTTATGACATATCAACCTTTTGGAACTTTTCTTTCAGACATTTATAGTATAGCATATCTTAATGAACATATACTATAATATGATATGTGTATATATACTGAATCTGCGTATTTCTCTACCGTATCTGCATGCCGCGGCTCCAGCAGCACATGTCTTTCCTCAGCAGCAGGCTGTTGAGAGCGGAGGCGGAGATGAGGTAGGTGAGCTGGCGGAAGGCCTGCTCCATCTGAGAGGGGGGCAGAGCCTGATGGGACAGGGCGGTGTGCAGCGCCCCCAGCTCCCTCAGCACCGCCGCCATCGATGGAGCATCGCCTCCCACAGGTCGGGGGTCAGAGCCGGCTCGCTTTCTGGACGCTGCCAACTTCACCGTGGAGCCAGAGAGACCGGAGATGGTCTCACTCTCCAGCATAGCAGGGACTAAAGGGAAGAGGCAGCAGGAGGGGAGATGAGAGGAGAAAGTGGAGGGTAGAGACCCATAGCATCAGTGTTGTCTTTATTATAGTGGTACCGATGATGTTCTGCAGGCCTTTTTCAGTGATGGAGAGGAGCTGCTGATAGACCTGGATGCAGAGGTCACTCAGGGCGCGGATCAAGTCACTCAGATCAACGGTCAGAGGAGCTAGGTCGTCCGAGTCAAGGGTCTGAAAAAGTAATCAATGCAATCATACATTCATCAAGGTAACTTGGAATCAATGAATCAGAATCTGATCTACTGGCAAGTTTACACACACTAAGAATTGGCTTTAGTGTGTCATCTTATAAACATAAATATGGTAGGAGAATTGAATAGCAAAAACATGTTCATCCTACCTGTTTCGGGGAGTGCTGGCGCAGCAGGTCGTGCAGCAGACAGGCGTTTTTCAGCCACAGAGCTGTCATGTCTACATCTTTACTGTGTTTCTGCAGGGACAGACAGGATGAAAAAAGGTTATATTGTCACATGGAGATTGACAGTAATGTGATGAAATGATAACACTCAGTGCTATTGGGTATATCTGTAAGAGCTCTATGGGCTTTGCTGTGATTTATTTCGTATTAGATTATATTTACATTATTATACACCTCAGTGGAAACTTGTCTCTGGCTTCTTAAAGTATAGCAAAGGAAAAAGAGAGCATCATTTTATAAAACTGAAGGTGAAATTCCTCTAATATATGTTAAATCGAGCATTTATCTTTTTCCTTAGGGGCCAGGTAGTTGGTCCAAAAAATCTGCAACAAGACTTGAAAGTGGTTCAAAGTCAGTTTGTCCATACTTCTCTGTAAGTGGCATGATGTGCTCCGCTCTTACACATTAAACCTCCACCATATGGTGCACCAAGCAGACTCAGAACGGGGTTACCTTCAGAGCAGCCTTCATGGCGGTGACAGCGGCGCTGCAGAGGGAGCGGGCCTGCGTCTGATCCCCGCTGCAGTCCGCCTGACGGACACAGAGGAAGAGGACGCTGGCAGGCAGGCCGGGAGGAAGAGAGAGGGCGCTGTCCACACGGACGTCTGCTCCACAGACAGAGAGTGTACAAGGTCAGATGTGTCAGCTACAGATCAAGTAGTGGACGTTAAAATGTAATTCTGTGTCACATTATCCTCATACACATTTTTCTGTTGTTGATGTATATTTCACATAAGCAAATGATAACGGCATAATTCCTCCAAGGATTCACTATGATGCAGTCCTAAACTGTGCAAATAAAATAAGGATGGATGCTTGTTGGACATTGTTAAAAGCAGTACAAATACCAGTGAAGAAAATATTGCACTCTTGAATAATTAAATTATAAAAAGATATTACTAGTGATTGAGTTCAAGCTCTCAAATGATTTAATAAAATGTAGATTATTCTATTATATAAGTGTTACTTCAACTGCTTCATTGTCTATAGGCACATTATGGTTTGTAATTTATTTTCATAAATAAAAAAGTTTCAAAAACATCCCCCTATTGGATTTTTCACCAATATTATACGATTATAAGAAGTCATTTATAATTAAAGCCCTTTGTAAAAGCAGGAAAGCTTATGTATTCAAACATATAGTTGTTTATGTTTGTTGTTTACTCTCTCACCTATGATGAGGTTTTTAATGAGCTTGTTTTCATCCTTCTTTCTGCACTCCAGCAAACCAGTGACTGCCGGCTTTGATTGGGAAGGACAGGAGGAAGTCTCTGCTGTGAACGCTGACGGGAGAACTGGAAAACATCACAACACAAACAACTTAAACAACAGCACCAGCAAAAACTAAAAAGACAGGGGAGAACATTAAAGGAGAGGTGTCATGGCCATTTCCACTGATCATAATTCCATTGTTGAGGTATACTAAAATAGATTTATACTGTGCATTTTTCCAAACTCACATTGGTTTCTCATACAGCATCTCTGTAAACTACGTGTATTCACTGAATTTCACTATCTGCCTTTAACGGCTCGTTGTAGCTCCAAAAGCTCCAGCCCCCACCCTCCCTGTGAGCACAGTGTGCTCTGATTGGTCGGGACGTTGTGAATCGCGCTGAGCTCCGTGGAGGTGTTGCTTCCTTGTTTAGGATACATAGCGAAACACAGCCAAACTCATCCTGAGCACACACAAACTCACATCCGAAGTAAAAACAATAAGTGTGGCTTGATATTGAGTAAGAAAAAGGTTGATAAACGCTGTGAGAATGGGTCTGCAGAGAGAATGGGTCTGCAGAGAGAATTTTGCCGCGATCCCAACTGTCTGTTATCAGCCTGCAGCCAGGGAGGAGAAATCAGCAGAGCTGCCTGCTCCCTGCACACAGATGTGTGTGTGAGGAAGTCCGTGGATCGGTCAATTTGGACCAATCAGCGGGGGCTTAACGTAACGGCTCCGCGGACGTAACGTAACGGCTCTTCGGGATTGGTCCATTTCGTTCCGGGTACGGCTTGACATCATGCCGTACCCGGAACTCAAATGGCCAGTGACGTATCTCCAACGAGGCGTTTTGGGGAGGTATTTTCTGTGTTAGAGTTTTACTCGCTACAGGGTGTACTTTGAGGGTTTTGACTCTGCACACCGTTTACATGAATAAAAACCTTCATAACACACAAGGGGACGGGTAATAACCGGAAAAGCATGACATGGGAGCTTTAAATAATGTAATGTTGGACTCAAGTTCATGCATTACCCTCTTGAGATAAAAAGGGCAGTATCATGAAGGCCCTTTATTTATATGAACTTTTGATCTAATGATATAAATAGTGTTTACTCATCTGCTCTTAACTATGTTTCAACATCATTCAATAAATGATCAAAATAAAGCTATATACTATGATGTCATAAAAAGGCATTAAGAGAAGTCATATGTAAAAAAACATTTTTAAACGTTATATTTCATTAATCCCTTTCAGTGATGAAGAAAACCCACCAAACATATTAAATCTGAACGTGCATGGCAAACCAAAAGCTCTGAATTTAAGCTCCTGATGAAACCGTACCTTGTGTCAGGAGTCGTCTGAGCGACACTGTGTTTTTAAGCTCCTTCAGCTCTCTCCTCAGTCTCACACACTCCTGCTCTTTGGCCTCTAGTACTTCCTGCAGCTCCTTCACACACAAACACACACTTGCATTTAGGATTGTTTGGCCTATATATCTAATGTTCTAAAAGCACACTGACCTAGTAGAAACAGTAGAAAAAGCTTGAACTTTTCATCAGGATTACAAGCAGCCAAAATCCACTAGCTCTTACTTTATAGACTGTACAGTATGTGATTAAGTCAAAGAGTGAGGAAAGTGGTAGGAAGGGACTTTTGGGAAGATGGTAGCATAATGACATTACATTACATTACAATACATGTCACTTGTTAGACGCTTTTATCCAAAGCGACTTACATACTCAATACTGTGGCAATTTGGGGTGAAGTGTCTTGCCCAGGGACACAACGACATTCTGACTGCAGTGTGGTTTGAACCTGTGACCCCCTTATCCCAACACCAAGGCTCTATCCACTGCGCCACACGCCACACGCCAATGACCCTTTTTCCTAAACGTATATATCGTTTTTTTTAGCAGAAGTGTTTTTCTTCTTCTACCTGTGGCCCTGCAGCAGAGGAAGAGCCACAGCTAGCTGCACTGATCTGGCCCCTCAGAGCCTCCAGCTCCTCCTCCCTCTGATGGCTCTGACTGCGCAGCTGGCTCTCCAGGAGTCTGCGAGACAAGGGGAGAGATACAACAGGATACCAGAGTTCATACAGTGAAATGCAGTAAATGGACTGCATCTATATACAGCTTTACTAGACCACTCAAAGCACTTTTACAACACACGTCAGCCTTGACTTAATCATGCACATTCATACAGCAGCAGAGGCTTTGAAATGTACAAAGGATTACCAAAGTATCTTCTTCCAAAACGTTCATAACATTCACACACCGTTGACATTCATTTGTGGCTTAGTGATTTGCTTATGGACACTTTGAAACATTGAATGCAGGAGCCAGGGATCAAACCACCGACCCTCTGACTCGTGGACAATCACTCTAACTCCTGAGTCACATCATATATAAATTACAGCATAGAATTTGAGGAGAAGCAAGTTGATACACAGGTAACAGACTGACTTGTTGGCCACTCGAACAGCATCATAAGCGTGTGCCAGGTCCTCTCCTTTCATCTTCACAGCCGGGTCTTTGGCCATGTCCATGCTCACCATCAGCTGATCCTGTCAATGCAAACACAGTGTGGAACATTACTGTCTGATCTGATGAAATAATGTTGCAAGTTCAAAAGCAGGCAGGCCTAGATTCAGCGTTACCAAGTATGATGTTTATTTATATTTTGAGTTGCTTTTTGGGGTTTCTTTTTCAATTTTTGTGGGTAGAAAATATGTTTCTGTTTAATAATGCTCATAAAATGTTTTTTCTACCAAACTTTAGGCAAGTTTTGTGATATTTCTCTTCCAACTCCTACACTCTCTCACCATTGGTGTTTGGAAGCTCCACACTGACTCTCTCCACTCCAGGGTGGGAGAAGTCACGCTGACCCTGCGGACCTCCTCTGGGGAGGGAAAGCATGATGAGAAGGATGAGAAGGGTGACAGCGGGGCGGTGGAGGGAGAGGGAAGTTCTAAACTCAGACTCTGAGTGGAGTCCGTCCTTCTGTGGACTTTGGTGCCCTGTTGAGAAGAGAGAAAATACCCAAAGCAACCAAGAGGGAGTTTTAGACCAAAATAGTATTTCTGTACGAGTATTTAACCGTGTCTGTAGGTGTAGTTATGAACCTCGGTGAGCAGACTCATCTCCCTGAGGTTGTCGTATCTCTGCTCCAGTCTGGTGAAGTCTCTCAGGAGACCCTGGTACTTCCTCCTCTCCTCATCCAGCTCCGCCCTCAGAGATGCACTCGCCTGAGACACAGCCTGCTGCACACACTCTGCACAGAGAGAAACACAGAGAGAGGAAAAACACCCAGGGTTCACCTTTGAAGTATGCAGTATGTGTCATGCTGCAAAGAGAGAAGAACTACCTTCTTGTGCTTGTTCTTGTTCAAACAAGCGAGCAGAGAGATCCTCTTTCTCTTTGCAGAAACCGTCCTTTTCTCTCTGCAGGGCTTGCAACTCCTTAAGGAATATGGGAGATTGAGAATAACTAATTAACATTTCTATCAATTAAGATTGTAAACATGGTCAGGGAAAAGACAATGTTTATTCTTTACATGCAATGAGAACACAACCACCAGCACAGGGTAAAATACTATGTGAAGAAAGTCTTTGTTCAGTAGGCCTACTTGTGTGAGTTGCAGGATGTCCTGTGCAGCTTTCTCCTCAGCTCTCCTCCTTTCCTCCACCTCCTTCTCGCTGATGACAGGGCAGGGTGGAGGTTTCTCTTGTTTCTGGCTCTCCAGTTTCTGTACCGTCACTTTCAGAGCCTCCAGCTCAGCGCTGCCGGCCTCTCGCTCGGCGTGCAGCGTCTCTCTCAAAGCTGCAGCCTCCCTGGCCTGGACAAAAACAAACTCAACTTTGAATATGAAATACAATGACTACTTGAGAGACAACCAAATCAGAAACAAGTGTACAAATAAATGTCTATCAACAAGGACGTTTGTTGGTCTGAACCACTTGGGATCCTTGCACGCACATAATGTATCTACGAGCCTTATAGACAGTTGGAGAGAGACAGGACAGCACAACTTTGAGTCAACCATTTTGGACAATAAAACCCCACATGGCCAGCATTTCAAACCTCCCCTTCCCCTCGGTAAAACATACAGAAATTCCTCTCAACCCTTATGCTTATACTAGAGATATTTGAGTTTGAGTTTACAAGGATCACAACACAGGACCAAACTCCCTTCACGCACCTCCTGGTCTGCTCTGAGCTGCAGCTGCATCAGTTTGACCTCCATGCCCTTGTTGAGCTCTCTGAACTTCTCCACGGATCGGGCCTCTGTCTTCAGTTTCATCAGCTCTCTCCTGGCAGCCCTGCGGCGCGCGCAGCACTGCATGAACACCACCGCCGCACGAACCCGCCTGTACGCCCGCCTTGCCATCCACCCACGCACCCTCGCCTGGAGCAGCACAGCAGCACGCTCCACCAACACCTGAGGAGGAAAGAGTTTAGACTTTTAACGGAGGTTATATATGTATACTCAGGGGTGGAATGAAATTAAGTACATTAGTAAAGTAATGTAATTAGGTACTAAAGTGTCATGCTTGTACATAACTTGAGCACTTCTTTTTTGTTCTATTTTGTCATTCTGTCTATTCTACAAAATTCATATTTTTTACTCAGCTACGTTAATTCAACAATAATAATTAGAAGCTACTTATAAAGTAGTTTTCCTATTAGTGGCTATACAAATAAAACACCAGATTTTGTTTTAATATTATACGTTTAGTACAGTACCACTGTACTAAAGATTATGTACCAATAAGACCTTACATTTGGGTCAACATTTGGGTCAACATTGACAAACTAGAAAATGTAAATGCTATTACATGTATTTGTTAATGATAAAAGCAGAATAATATGCTATCCTATAATAAGATAATACTTTGAAAAGAGCTATTGTGCATACTGAGTACGTTTACTTCTAATACTTTAGGTACATTTAGCTGATAGTACTTCTAAACATTGACTCAAGCAACATTTAGAATTTTTGATTTTGAAATGTAATGGAGGATTTTAAGACGAAAGTATTTCTACTATTAATTATATTTTAACTGTGTAACTACATTTGACTTCTATCGTAAACAGAACATAATCAAACGTTTAAAGAAGTGCTGACGAAAAAACATTTGAAATACGCGGGTGGAGGTTGCTTTTTAAAGATCTACTCGAGCAGTAAGTGTTAGTGTAGTAATGATTAAGGCTGTAATGTGCTGACCTGTCTGTATCTGCGGCGGGCCATGGTTCCTCTGCTGAAGGCCTGGATGGTGATGGTGGCCTGTCGGATCATGAGGAACAGCTGCCTGACGGCCACCATGCGGTATGTCTTCTGGATCACTAGAGCAGCCTTAGTGTAGCGCATAGTCAGGGCCAGTCTGCAGCCAGGAGGATGAATGGGACAATTAAGTATTTATCTGGCAATTTCTTTTTTGAGGATTTACAAAATGAACAAAAAATTAAGAAAATAACAAAACTAGCACTATTTTTATGGTTATTTAGCAGAATATTGTGCAGTGTAAAATACATTGTAGCTCACCTGAAATAGTTTGAAACATAAAACTATTATCATCGCAAAGATCTTTAACCAACCCTTTATAGTAAATGTTTATAAAAATACAGAAAAATAATCATTTTTTATCACTGAAAGGTAATAGAAAGTATATTGTGAGGTTAAACAACATTTGTCCCTAAAGATCTGTCACTTAAAAAATAAAAAGTGAGGTTTACTTTGATAAAGAAACATTTTAATGTCCTCTCCTCACCGCCTGGCTAGAGCTCCTCTGCAGTATCTCTGGATGGTGACGGTCGCCCAGCTGATCCGGGTGAATCTGACCCGGGCGAGCCATCCTCTGACCCGGCTCTGGATGATCACCGCGGCGACACGCAGCTTCTCAGCTCTCAGCCTCTCCAGGAGAGCCACCTGACCGGCCCGGAAAAACACTTTGGTCTTCCCGAAGCAGTACTGGTCCGGGTCCGGGATGAGCTGAGGCAGGGTGAGTCTGCAGGAGGCCTGAGCCTGATCCTGGGTCAGGGGACCGTGAAGCAGGAGGCGGTACCTGCAGAAGAACTCCTCGTACGTCCACCTGGAGATAAAGAGTTGGGATGGAAATCTCAAAGGTCACCTATTATACTGTTTTTCATCAATATATTATAGGTCTCAGATAAATACAAAACATGTCTCTGAAGTGTTTGGCTCCAAACACCAAACAGATCATTGTAGCATCCCATAATCCCCTCTGTTTCAGCCCTGTTTCAAAAGTGCTGATTCTGTGTCTGATACTTTAGATGAAAATAAGGAGCCACGCCCCTCTAAGAGATATTTGGTTAAAAATAACTCAATGGTGCTCTAGGAGGGGATTCAGGTGATAAGGTGGGGGGGTGGGGGGGGGGGGGGGGGGGGTTACCCTGGTTGGTGATTGGCTAACACAAGCCAAAAAAACGTCATGACATCATAAAGTGGCCAAAATCTGATCAGCTCATTTTCAGACAGGTTTTTATATAAATGGATCAGGACAAAAAGAGAGAGAATCTTTTTTCCTGAGACTTTCAGAATCTCGTTCCACAGAGGGGACACATGCTGATGTATAAAAGACATGAAAAAGTGGATTTTGCATAATAGGTGACCTTTAAAGAAAACAGCTTTATACTTATAGGAAGGATAGTAGGCCTCTTTTTCTTTTGGTCCAATCTTTATTAACTTGACATTATTTTTACTGTAGTTATGTCACTGAAGTGAACATTTAAAAAAAATATATATATAAAGAGACATATTACAGTACTGATTATTTATACTAATATGCTTTCAGTATTTTTTATTTCATGTTGGTGCGTTTGATGAAACTTGTACATTTGAGATTTGAGAGATGGTTTTATTGTTTAAAGATGAGCAACAAAATCACACTATTTACACTATGTATACTATTACATTACATGTCACTTGTTAGACGCTTTTATCCAAAGCGACTTGCATACTCAATACTGTGGGCAATCCCCACAGGAGCAATTTGAGGTGAAGTGTCTTGCCCAGGGACACAACGACATGCTGACTGCAGTGGGGTTTGAACCTGTGACCTGATCCGAAAACCAACACACAACCCACTGCACCACACGCCCCCTATTAGCTTAATAAAAAAATACTGGAAGTCAATAAATAATTTTCATGTATCTCAAGCATGTTTTATGTCTCTAAAACATTCAAAGTAAATTGTGAGAACATATAGCAAAAAACTAAAACAAATGCTGCTTAAAAGGTAGTAATAATTCTAATAAAAAAAGAACTTGACGTTAATGGTCTAGTTACCACAAATTGCTGTAGTTACAGAAATCCCTAGTAAATTCCTGTAAGATTAATGTGTTTAAGAAAAACTCAACTCTGTTCCATGCGTTTCTTTCATCAATAAAGAGTTAGAGGAGAATGGCAACTCCTAATATCCTCTCCAATATGATTTTCTTTGCATCAATTTGCAGAGTATATGATTTGATGTCTAGGAAATATTCAGTACCTGGATGGAAAACCTGCAGCACTGATACGAATTGTCTCCAGCACCCCACAGGCTCTCAGCTGCTGGACCGTCCTTCTAGGGTCAAACCTAAGAAAAAGCAATGGAACAAAAAAAGGATGTCATGCTGCTGTGTGCACACATCAGTGTCAGAAAAAACACAAATTCAAATTGCATAAATGTGCAATTTTGTGGAGAACAAAGACATACATAAATGGTTCTTTGAGATCGTTGGGTTTAATACAGCGGACATAGTGAGGAGTGGTGCTGTTCAGAGTGTCCATTAGCATCTCTAGGGACTGTCGGAACTGACACCAACACAATGAAAACAAAACAAAACGTTACAGACAAATTGCTGCATGAAAAATGAAGTGATTAGAATATGAAAGTCATACCAGCTCACCTGGAAACCCACTGTCAGTTTATGTTCTCTGGTGGCTCTTTTTCCTGAGCGAACACTTCCATTAGCCACAGATGGAGCGTTTCCCTGCTGCTGGAACAACTCGGCCACCAGCTCGGACTGACACACACATGACAACACACACAGAGAAAAGTCAGTGATCACAAAGTCACATAGAAACTAAATTAAATAGAATACATAGAAAATATCTACCTGACTTGCTCGGAGGATGTTAATGAGCTCCTCAAAGACTGTGTCTCGATTCTTTCCTAAGAAGCCATCACATTCATATTGCACCTGATGAAAAAAGGGAAACTGTCATTAGAAATAACATAAACTGGAAAAAGAGACTTTTTCACATATTGAGGCTTCTCATTGGGGAACTATCCTACAGTCCACAGATGAACAGTATTCCTAGAGTTTCTCTGTGTTGACCTTCATCACTCACCGTGTCAGCGAAGTGCAGAACGACGAAGGCGCTGTTGGACATGCGGGGTTTCTGGAAGTGAGGGTGGGGCTTGCTGCTCAGGTGTTGGTCGTACAGCTTCCGTACCCAGCTTTCATCTGAACCTTTGGGCATCTGGTGAGTAACACAGACAATTACCACAGAGACAAAAGATTAACAGATTATCACTGCTCATATGCAAAACATACGGAATACTATTTTATTTCATATGTTTTCTTATTTAATTGTTGCCTTTAATCAGCACTGTCCCATCGCTGTTGTAACACTGAACATTTCCATGCTGTGAAACAAAAAAAGGCTTTCTTATTTTATTTATTTTGACTCAAGCCAGTGAGATGAACACTTGCAAGGCAAGGCAAGTTTATTTATATAGCACCTTTCAACACAAGGCAATTCAAAGTGCTTTACAAAAATGAAAGACATTAAGAAAATGGCATTTAAAAACAGTCATTAAAAAGCAAAGATAATAAAATAAACATTAAAAGAAAAAATACATGAATAAAAGTTACAGTGCAGTTAAAGATATTAATTTTAATGTGTAGATTGAGCCGAATGTGAAGGAGATAGGAAAAGACAGATGAGAGAGGGAGACAGCAGCACTGACCCTGCACTCCTCGTCCAGCAGATCGAACAGGCCCAGCTGCCCCTCGATCAGATTGATGCACAGCTGATTGTCACTGAACTCGATCCGGCTCCAGGCCAGCTCCTCCCGGATGTATTCCTCCTGCTCCAAGTGGAACACATGCTGCGGACGAACACACAATATAAATATAAAACTTCAAAAAGATTGAGACAAAGTGAAAGAAATTGCAATGGCTCTCGACAGAAAGTTAAAGGAGGCAGACGATCCTGAAGATATAAATATGGTCAACACAGTGAAGCTAGCTTTGCTTTGAAACACAGATCATCACGCAGAAAGACAGTATGTGCTTGTTTTGGGCTGATTGAGGAGTTTAACAAGAATGATTTTGCTATTAGCATGTTCAAGAATAATGAGTCTACCTGTAAACACCAATACACATAGGGGGAGAAAGACATGTTTTCCTGTAAAGTGACTTACCCTGTTGAACTGCTGTTGCAGTTTTTCATTGGCATAATTTATACAGAACTGCTCAAAACTGTTCCGGTCAAAAGTCTCAAACCTGCACAGAGATCATCAGTTAGATTTGTAATAAAACCCTGAAGATATGAACAACAATGTTAAAAATAAAAGGACAGTTCAGTCTAAACCTATACAGTCTATGGTCTAAACTCAAAACCACAATTGTTTTCCTCTTTAATGTATTGTTATTTATCCATTTAGATTGTTTTGCTGTGAGTTGCAGAGTGTTGGAGATATCCTCTCTTGAATATAGTGGAACTTAATGGCAGTTGACCTTTGGTGCTCAAAGCTACAAACAATTTGAAAAACTCAAAAGCAATGTCTCTTTCCAGAAATCATGATGCGGTGCTTTTTCATGCTGCAACTATTTTCTTTCTACCCAACTCTACCTAGCAGAAGGATGAATGCATCTACTCGACAAGACAATTCGGCACCAAAACCATCTACATTCACAAATAGCACTACATGTAAGGGTTTTTGTGTAATAAGTCCACACACATTATACATATCCAGTGTCACAGAGCTCATCCCTCACCCATAGATGTCAAGCACCCCTATAAAGGACTTGGTTTGTCCCTTCTGGCTGTGCAGGGCGGAGTTGAGCCTCTGGACAGTCCATGTGAACAGCTGACCATAGATGTGTTTGGAGAGGGCATCTCTGGCTTCTAAGGCCTGCTGACCGGACACCGGCTTCACCAGCATCTCCCCCCCCACAGCCAGCCTGCGGTGACACAGCCAGTGGGCCGTCTGAGGTCCGTCCACTCCCAGCAGCTTAGAGAAGACTGCCAGGGGGCGGTCGTCTGCCTGAGAAGAAACAAAATAATCAGAAAGACTATATAGACAATGTATTTGTTGTATTGTCTCACAAAGCATGTGCAATGTTTTGTATTTCTTCTTCTTGTGTGTTTGAATTGTCTTTGTTTGTAATTTATTAATGTACCTTTGGCTGGGATTTGTTTAAAGGGGACCTATCATGCAAAATTCACTTTTGTATGTCTTTTGTATGTCTATACATCAATATGTGTCCCCGGTGAGTCAGGGAACTCACGCAGCATCATGAAATAAAACCCTCTCTCTTTTCCTCCGTACCCAAATCTCTAAAACCGGGGGTACAACGGAGCTGATCCAGATTTGCGTCCGATATGACGTAATATCGGAAATGTGGACCTACGGCACTATCAGAAAGTTGCTATGCCCGACTGTTTTGGACGTAATATGGTCGGTGTTTACACTAGCATCGCTAACACTCAGACCTAACCTGTACTGGAGAGCATGTGTGTGAAGAAGCAGGAAATAAAAAGGAACTCACCTTGTGGTATAACCGGCAAGAGAGAAAGCCTTTGAGCTCCATACTGTTTCAGAAATAATCCATGATATGGAGTTTCATCACGGCAGTATTTTGTTTAGACAGTAGCTGCCGGGTCCCGCATGAGCTCAGCCCCCTCCTTTTTTTTTTTATCAATTCTTTTTTTTTTTAAAGCTTTATACCCAAAATCAGCACTTTTGAAACAGGAAGTGAAATAGAGGGATATGAGGCATGGCTAGAATGGGTGATCTGTTTGGTATTTAGAGCAAAACACTTCATAGACATGTTTTTATTTATATATAAAGAGACCTATGCTATTGCCTAAAAATAGCATGATAGGTGCACTTTAAGTTGAATGCAGCTGTGTAGCACATTGGCCCCAAAATACATTTCCACTCAAGTTTGCACAAGTTTTTCTTATCTTATCTTTCATATACTATCTTATCTTAGTTTCTTATCATTTTAATTCAGGTTGAAGGCTTACATTTTTGCCGCTGCATTCTGGTATATCAAATCACTATTCATATATTTCACTGCACTGTAACTTTAATTGTTTTATATTCTCATTATATTTTTAGCTTGTTTTAATTTGTGTGTTTTTTTGTGTGTGTTTTTAAATGTACTAAAATGTCATTCTGTAATGAGTTTCTGTTTCACTTTTTTTCAATCTTAATGCTTTTTAAAAACACTGTTTAGAAATGCACTGTATAAATAAACGTGTCTTGCCTTACAGTAGATGCACTGATAAAGGAAGTTGAATGATAGCTGAGGGATAATATATAGAAGATCTAGATTACTGCAAGTGAGAGGAGAGATTAATGTATTTCTTACATCAATATAACTCCGGTCAGAATTTCTCCCACTGGCCTGGATGTTGACATTTCCGAGGTGCAGAACAGCTGCCAGGATCCTGAAGAGCTCCATCTGCTGGTCAGGCTGCACACCTGCATGATGAACAAATACACCAATAATCTTGCATTATCTTCATTAATTGACAACATGATTTAATCACATTAATGTCACCTGAGTCTGAACAGGTGGATGCATTGTGTACATGTTTGTGTGTGTAGAAAGCTTGTATTTTATAATCTTGTGGGGACATACATCTGTTTCCACAGCCAAGTTGTGGGGACTTGACTTAATTATGGGGACAATGGACAAGTTAGAGTAAGGATCCTACCAGTAGTGTTTATAGTTATGGTTAGATTAGTGTGGACATGAATATACGTCAATGTAATGTCTTCTAAATTGATGGAAACATGACTGTGTTTATCAGAATGAGAATCAGAAACTGGTTTATTACCAGGTAGGTTCACACGTACGAGGAATTTGACTAGGTGTCGTGGTGCATACATAAAATAAAAAACAAAAATGTAAAAATGAACACAGTAATACAAATATAGTAAGATAGCAATAAAATAAAGCAGTAATTTACATTGAAATAGAATGCAATATTTAATTATGTATGGTGTCTGAGAGTAAGCGTACTCTACCCAGGATGGTGAAAGCGTTGCGAGTGCGCTCCAGGTCCAACAGGTCATCAGTGCCAGGAATCTGCATCTCTCCTCCCTGGCTGGTGTAGCGGAAATTCTCAGGTGCATCTGGAGGAAAAACACAGAGCACAGTCAGGCTGCATGCAACATGGACAGTGTTATATACAACAGATACAGAACTCAGTGAATGGAAAAGGTGTAGACATGGTAACATTTTATAAGAAAAATAAATGATGGGGATGCCTGTGAAGTCTCACCCAGTTTAAAGGATCTAATTTCAGGCAACTCTCTGGAGGCACACAGCTGGTAGAAGATGTGGTAGTTCCTCTCTGCTGATGCCTTACATGCACATAAGACAGAAATGTTCATTAACATATGCATAATCCATAAATGAGTTACATTAAACCTCAGAATAAATGGGAAATTATTCAAATGCAATAAAGCTTGCTTACTTGGAAGACAACCCTAGACTTTTCCAGGAGATACGTCCTCATGTTCGCCCCGATGATGTCTCCTTTTCTGCCAAAGCCGATCTCGATGTACTTCCCAAAACGACTACTGTTGTCATTGCGAGTGGTTTTAGCATTCCCAATAGACTGTAGGTAAAAGCATGTGTTTTGCAAAATAAACATCAATGACAGGTAAAAACTATTTTTGAAAGCGCTAAATGTGTTTAATGGTCCATCACCTCCATGATTGGGTTGGAGGCCAGAACCCTCTCCTCCACGCTGGTCTGCTGGGCCGCTCCTCCGACCACAGCAAAGTATCGCATGGTGAATTTGGCTGAGACTGTTTTCCCCGAGCCAGACTCTCCACTGATGATGATCGACTGGTTTTTATCCTCCCTGTACACACAGATACCATGAATACCACATCCCATAAAGTTATGCTGAGACCATCACTGTGGTTGTTACAGTACAGTGTAAGCAATTAAAGTAGGTTGTACTGTATAATGGTTGAAATGTTTCTGGTTGTTGTCACATGACCTCTGACCTGATCATGGTGCGGTAGGCTTCCTCGGCCACAGAAAAGATGTGAGGCTCCATGTCGGCCATGTCCTGCCCGCTGTAAGCATCGATCACCTCCTCTCCATATATGGGCAGCTGGTCATAGGGATTAATGGCCACTAACACGATACCTGGAGCGACAGGAAAGTCACATCAGTAAGATACTCTGGATATTGATAGGCTAATAATGACAAAAAAAATAGAAATACTGTTTTTGTAATAGCTTTATGGTGTTTTTATTTGTATAGAAAAAGCACTTATATAAGTCTCAGTATTATAGAGTACACATGTTTTAATTGTACACGTACTAACTTAAGCATTCCCAGTGCAACCGAAAATACAAATAAGAAAAGATACTGTTTCAAAAACCCACAGTTTTAGTCTTAATCGAACCAAGCAGACGCAATGAAATGCCTTTGTCAACTAAACTAACCCTAACATAAGTTGTTATCTCAAAAACTACAAACGTTTGAAGTAAAGTAAAAAAAAGAAATTGATTTTATTTAAATGGGCAAGGTGACTTTAAGAAAACTTTGCATCATCTAAAAAAGTAATTGCATCTTAAAACAGTAGCAGCAAGGGAGTTCCCTCCTCAACCTTTGACCTACAGTAATATATCGATCACTATGAGCTGTTATCTTGCAGACAGAAGCACACAGGAGCTGCATGTTGCACACATCTCAAACACCTGCTGTGACTAATGTTGGCCACTATAAGTAGAGCAATCATCCCTTATGTAGCTCCTATTCCCTCTCTCTGCAGTCTGCATTTGCACATTCAGAGCTCACCACAGTACGTGTAGATGCTGTTGTAGTCCAGGAATCGAACCCGCAGGTTGTGCAGGACAGCAGGTTCATGGAGGAAGCTGAGAGCCGTCAGGTTGTTCTCCCCCTCCAGTATGTCAGGGTTCCCCGGCGGGGGGAGATCAGAGGGGGACGCCAAAGGGAAATGGGCCTCCTTCCAATGGAGAAGGATTCAAGATTCAAGGCTTTTATTGTCATTTGTACTTAGCTGCAGTGTAGATATGTCAATGAAAATCTTAGGTCGCGGGCTCCTCCAACAGGAAGATAGAAATTATTTGAATGGGAAATGTAAAGTGTTTCATGAAAATATAGAAGGCACTGGAGTGTAGCATATTTTTTATAAGGATCATGAGCCTTCACATTAAATTGTGGATAATATCAAGATACAGCATGTCTCACCTCCCCATCAGAGAGCTGTAGCAGCAGGTTATTATCTCCGGGGCTGTAGTCCTTGAGGAGCAGAGCTGACACCCAAACAGCATCCGGGTCAGGAACCCACACCCTTGCTCCCTAACAAGGGAACACATTAGATTTAAAAAATGTAACAGACACACCATTTTTTTTTAAACATTTAAATAAAGAAGGGAAGAGATTCTGCAGGTTTGACACTCTTTGCATTTTATAGACCATTTTTGGAGTCCAGAAACGAGAGATTTTTTACAGCTTTTTATTTTCTATTCTGACACGCTTAGGATACATGAATTTCCTGGCCCCACCCAGACATTTGTCAGCCATCAGCATAAAAGGCTCCTAAACGATGTTAAAAATTAACACTGGTCATCCTACTCTAAATTGGATTACCCATTACCTACTTCCAACATATGTAATTTGCTTATTATTCTTCCCATTTTACAAATAAAGGTTAAATCAACATATTACAATTTCCTACTCTTATGAGTTTACACATAGAAAGATTAAAACACGTTTTAACATAAAACCTATTAATTGTTGACACAAATCAGGAAAGGCTTTCATTTGGGCACTGAAACATATTCTATAAAATACATGAATGGCAAAGATTAACACACACATACGAGATATGTCTTATGAATACATACATACCTAGTAATGTTTTATATATCATAACCAGTACTCTTTTGGTAAACCCTTCAGAGGTTTTGAAAAAACAAACATTTAAGCTAGTCTTACCTTGCTGTATAGCTCCAGTGAGGTCATCTTAACGTCTTTAAAGCATGCAGGTATATATCATTATGAGGTTAAATCAACAGGAGCAACATCCACACATCCCTCTGAAGGAACTGTCTGTTTCCTCCACACTTCTGCAGAAGAGCCACTTTGTGTCCTGCTGACAGTTCTTTGTACTTTGTCCAGGCTCACACGGAGGCATGAGGATCGTCAAGTTAACTGTTATGGGAGGATGCAGTGATTGGACGGAGGGGTTTCTCCATTTAAATGTGCAGTGTGCACCAATAAATCCAGAACATGTGGTAATTTAAAAGCCTACTTTAGGGGGATTCAGGTGCATCCACATCCATGTTAAACTATTGTGACGACCCCTCCACACCACGTGGGGTGCCATCTGTTTGTGTGTGTTTGTGGGTGTTTGCAGGTTCCAGTGCCTAATGAGCTGCACCTGTCAGTTGAGCTGCACTTGCTGGAAGCCTAAAAGGGGAGCCAAGTCGGATACGTCGCTCTCTCACTCCTCTGGGCACTCTCTCCGTGCCAGCCTCGGGGATCTGTTGCTGGTTCCATTTACTTGTTTGTTTATTATGAATAAACGATTATTATATTCATACCCCTCGTCTCGCCTCCCAGCTTTTTGTTGCAGCCCAGGAGCCGGGTTGTAACACTGTAGTTTAAATGTTAGTTCGAACCTAGATTTGTTTGACTCAACCCGTTTCAGTTGCTATAATTGTAAAGTGCTGAAAGACATGGATCACAAAAAGTATTTAAAGTGGACCTATCATGCTATATTTGAATAATATAGTGTAGGACCATACCTATATAAGGCATATTTATACTTCTTTTTTTTCAAAATACCAAACAGATCATGCATTTTAGCCATGCCTCATTTTGCTCAATTTGACATTTTTTAGCTGTTTGTGTAAGGGCAGAACAGCACCATCTACTGGCCTGGCATATGTACTACAGCGTCTCCAGCGCTTTCGAACGGCAATGACCGTGGGTGTCTCCTCCTGATTGGTGGAGTTGGCCCAATAGCCGTAGTGCCACCGTCCTGACGTCAGGACAGTGTTCAAATCTGGATCAGTTTTTATCAGATCCGTTGCAGCCCCTTTTTTAGAGATTTGGGTATGGAGGAAAATAGAGAGGGTTGTGTTTTCTGACACTTGGTGAGTTCCCTGGAACACCGGGGACACATATTCATGTATAAAAGACGTACAAAAGTGCATTTTGCATGATAGGTCCCCTTTAAGATATGATTGTGAAGCAACATTTGGAACGTCCTCCATATTATCCCCCTTACTTAGATGAGGGAACACCTCAAAGTTAAACGATCACAATTAGAAAATAACACAGTAGCAACAGAATTAATGACTTTTCAACTCATTTTAATAATTAATACAATCAAATTCATTCAGCATCAGCCTGCTGATAATGAGAAGGGATTTTCAATATTTTAGCTTGATATATTATTTAACATCAAACCATGATTGACAGGGATATAAAATACAAAACAATTTTTCTTCAGATGATGAATGACATGAAATCCTCGATTTGACTGTATTTTGCTTTGACACCAATTGTGTGCTGGGTTTACATGGAGGCAGCATGTGTGTGGTAAACGTGGAAATATATTCTATGCTGGTAACATTGAAACAATAAAGAAAAACCTGGATTGACTCGGACAGAAACAATACCTAAACAACCATGATTTACAACATCAGTAAGCACCCATAATAACGGGTTTTAAGTTATATCTTTCCCGTTGTGCTCATCCCACTCATGTCTTACTTTCCTTATATTAATTTTACAACGGCATAGCCAATATAATCGCTTACGGTAAAAATACCACGCAGACTTTACATAAATGTCAAACAACCCTCTTCCAAACGACCTCTTTGGTCAATAACCATTACTCACAGGATGACACAGCTGTCATAAAGTACATGATTTCCTTGAAACTACAACAATAAAAACTTTACTGTGCCCTCCGATGGATCAACACAGGATTCAAACTACAACGTCTGCATTAGTATCAACAGGAGAACTGCAGGCTGGCACCTATTCAATTAACTTATTATTGTTACAGCTCAACTGGTTTGACTAGAAAACATTGTGTTTTGTGTCAGACAACTCTTGGAGAGCACTGTTCAATTAATAAAAAGAAAGAGAGACATGCCAAAAATACAAAACATTCATTTCCATCTGCCCTAAAAGAAAAAGAAAAAAGAGGAAACCAGATTAACATTTAGCTGACGTAAAATGTTTGGATCTGATTATCACTAAATTAATACAAACCCATTCAAAGCCTCTCAGTAAAAAATACGCTTCTCATCAAACACTGAATTTGACACACTGTAGATAAGTTATTTTTAATATTCGAAAGTTCAAGGGAATTTTTAAAAATGTCAGCTCATATATATGTAATTTAATTGTCGTTGAAGTCAAGGAGTCCCATCCAGTGGAGGTAATGATGAATAGGTGCATTTGAGACTCCCAGCGTTTTTTTGGCTCGGGGGAAGACAGTTCTTTAGGTCGTTCAGGACTGGTGTTAGTCGGGTTAGGTCAGGGTTGAACGCAGATACTCGGGGACAGTTCATCAGGGCAGGACTGCTGTAGACTCCCACTGTTCATGATCATGTGTGCGGGCGTTGAACAAATCCCTACAAGAGGAGAGGATTGACAATTAGAGGAAACAGGTAGTAATACAACACTCACAATACGCCTTGATCTGCAGCTAGCTACGTTTCTACTTTAGAAACAAGCTCTGTTTGTGCTGCAACCTTCATGTTTGGGCTTGACTATGGTGATGATGTTTATCTGAATGCATCTTCTTAATGCCTACACTCTTTGGATACTGTCTCCCATGTGGCTCTGTGATTTATTCCAAACTTTAAAACCCTTGAACACTGCATTGCTCCTTGTATGCTCGGGTTGGATGGTTCTTCTTGACCACTTGTAGATTGGAACTAGCTGCAATATGAGCTGAAACTCAGGGAGATGGTCTCTCTCAACAGATTTAAAGTGCTTCTTACTGACCCAAGCAGCAGGCAACTGAAGATATTTTATTTAGTAATGTTTCTGATTGTGACTATGATATGCTCTGTTTTTTATGTGTTGCCTTCATCTGTGCTGCTGCTTATCTTGGCCATGATTCATACAAAAAACATGTGAAAGAGATTTTTCATCGCAATGAAACTTCCCTTGGTTTAATTAAAGGTTAAATTAAGTCCTATATTTTAACCAACCTGTGCTATACACTCTCCATATCTTCGCTGCCGTCGTCCTTCAGAGCCTCGTCGTCATTGGAAGCCTCCTCGACATGCGCCATCATGTCGGCCATCAGGGCCTCCTCCAGCCTTTTCCTCACACTGTACACCAGCTCCTCCTGTTTCCTAAACACCAACACAACAGGAAGTGGTTACAATTGGCAGTTACAGATGCCTAGAACAGCCACTGAATCAGCACACAACCGATGGTGTGTTTTTACAAAGAGCCGGGTCACTGGTGATGGACTGTGGAACAGACAACAAGAAGGGATGGGGAAATCGTCAAGTTCATTTCAACTCAATCAGATAGGAGATTTCTTCATTATGTCTTTGTGATTCAAACTTTTTAGTTGTTATTGTGCATAAGCATATCAAATGGACGCCAATATTTTATAAACGGTGCATTATTCGATTATTCACAGTGCTTTATTATTTGTGTTTTGTTTTGTTTTTAGACAAACTGAAGAATATCTTAGCAAGATTTGTAACCCAACTGTTACACAGGCACATCGATCGTTGATGCATTTCTTCCCAAAGCCAAAACGGAAAAAAGTTCAAATGAGGAAACGCATTTTGGATCTGACTACATTTAAAAATTATTCTAAGTGTAGCGTACACTTAAACTCATTTTTTTTGTCTTTCTTTGGGGTGGCTAAAATACATTTTACTGCTCCACCTGTCCATTGGGTTGCTTTGCTCCTGTGCTGGTAAACTTGTCTGCTTCTCCAAACATCTAGTTTGAGGAATACGCCAAGTTCGGGAAAGTACCTCACCAAACCCACTTCAAAACATCCAAAATATTCCTCCAACAATCAGGATCTTAACATTGTAAAACACAAAAATCCACAACAGGTGATCAATGTGTGGATGTGTTGTGTGATGCAGGGTATCTGCACTATTTTTAAGTACAAATGTAATGACATTTAAGACCTTTTTAAGACCTCTAAAAAGGAACAAATAATACCAATACAAAGTAATCGATGAACTACATCAGGGGTTCCCAAACTTTTCAGCCCGCGACCCCCAAAATAACTGTGCCAGAGACCCCCCGCCACATGAATTGCCTCACTCATTAAGGCAAGACACGGCAGGCAAAAACATCGTTTTTCATGCACTGGTCAATTTTGATATGTTGTGCTATTTTGATTCCATAACATGTTTTCTTTCAGGCTTTTGGAAGGAAAATGTACAAAATACACATTTAGGTGTTTATATTTGCGTCTGTAGATTTCTCCTAAATTCACCAAAAGTTAGCTTTCTAACGTAACATAAAGTACCGCGACCGCTGTTTGCACACTAGGCGCTTTCACACCGCAGAACTTAGTTCATGAGAACTCTTTAGTTCTCATGAACTAAGTACAGATCGCGTTCACACCGGAATAAGTTCCCTGAGGGAGGATTAGGCAAATGAAGCCGCTGACGTCACTTCTTCTTCTTCTGCTTTGGGTTTACTGGCAGGCCGCAAACAACTTCACGGCGTATACTGCCACCCGGAGTCCCCAGCCGGAAGTCCCCGGCGTTGAGGACTTCCGAGTAAATCGCCAGAACGCCTTCACATCCTCATCACTCCACCGCTCCCATGTTTTCTTTTGTGTTGCCATAAGTTAGTCTCTCTGCGTTTCTGCTCTGGGCTAATGCTAATAATGCTAATGCGAGGATAATAAAATGGCGGCTTCACAAAACTTTTTGGGAGTTTTACGGGGCGTGGTTTGCATTCCGCCCAGCCAATCAGACATAGGAACCTTTTTCTCCCACGAAAGTACCTGCTCTCTAGCAGGGACGGAAAAGGGGGTAAAAAGGTTCTCATGAACTCATTTTAGTTCCGGCTCTTTTTGGTGTGAACGCGACATTTCGGAACTATATCGGAACTAAAGTGGGAAAAGTACTGCGGTGTGAACGCGCCTACTGTAATCAGAGGTATCGTTCGAAAGCTCCGTCTCTCCTGCACAATTTCATCGGATCCAAATATGGTCATTTCCTTTGTATCAGCAACCAATCGTGAAAGTACAAAAGGGGTCTTAAAACAAAAAACTAAATCTCATTGGCTGGTGTCAATTTCTGACAACGTGATTCGTTCAGATGCGTCACGTGGTGTGCTAAAACACTTCCTGGTTTAGCTTTCGCTGGAAATTTAAATCTCAAACTGGCAAAAGAACAGTGAAAAAAACGTTCATAGAGAAGACGACAACAATTGTCACTTGCACGAAGCAATGTTAGACAAAAAACAAATGACCCTGAACATGAAATACCTTCATGGAGTGCGTCGAGGCGCAAGCTGTCATCCAAAGAACAGGAGGGTTTAGGTAGCGCCTCACAGCAATCTTTGCTGTGAGGTCGTTTTCTCAAAATGAGTTTTTTCTCATATTCTGAGTCAGAAATGTCCACTTCAGTAGCACTTGCATACACCAAACCTTCCAGTTATATTCCTATCAATATTCTGAAGGTTTTTACAGAAGGGTTTGTTTATGTATCATTCATAGCCTGAATTATAACATTTTATACCTAAAAACATGGCAAAAATTGATATTTTAGAGCTGTTGACAGTATTTTCTGATTTATGGAGTGATAAAAAGAGATATCCAAAATCCCTTCTGTAAAAACTGTAGATTCTAATATGACTACAAAATGAAACAAGAATTTTGAACCTGGCTTTATCCAATGTTCAGAATTGTGTTCCTGAAAGGATTAAAATATGCGCATATTTAATGAGATTATGGCTCATTTGCATGGGGGGGGGTGCGGTGCCCCTACAAATAGAATCAAATTATGTGGGAAACACAGGATAATAATAATAATAATAATAATAATAATAATAATAATAATAATAATAATAATAATAATAATAATAATAAAAAATAAATGTTGAATCATCTCGCGACTGGATCCGCGGGGACCCTGGTGATGGCTCACCTGATGTCCTCATCAGTGACGATGAAGGCCTTGCAGAGCGGCTGTGTGGTGTTGAGCCAGACTCCAGGGTTCTTCTCCACGGCTGCAGACAGCTGGCCGGTGATGGGAGCGGCGCTGGTGTGCAGAGCGCTGGCGATGGCCGACAGGAGGGTCTTATCTGTGCAGCCTGGACCCACACCTGAGGAGCAACAGGGAGTTATCAGACACTATGAAGAGACATCAAAGCTGGATCTCTGCTCAGGATCAGTAACATGTTAAAGGGCCCATGTCATGGCCATTTCCACTGATCATAATTCCATTGTTGAGGTCTACTAGAATAGATTTATATTGTGCAATTTTCCAAACTCACATTGGTTTCTCATACAGCATCTCTGTAAACTACGACGAACGAAATGGAAGAATCAAATGGACAATGACGTATCTCCAACGAGGCGTTTTGCGGAGGTATTTTCTGTGTTAGAGTTTTACTCGCTACAGGGTGTACTTTGAGGGTTTTGACACCGTTGCACACCGTTTACATGCATAAAAACCTTCATAACACACAAGGGGACGGGTAATAACCGGAAAAGCATGACATGGGCCCTTTAAGACTGCAAAGAATAAATGTTTGAGGGACATGTAGTCATTGGATGATATGAAATATGTTACAGTTATTGTGGCCAAAGTAATGGTAATTCACGGTATTATACAGATAATCTTCTTAATGGCATGACAGAAGGAAAGAATATTTTTAATTGCCTCACAGATACGAAACAATTATATGTCATTACTGTTTTAGTGAAAATTGGAGAAAAACTAATAATTACAAAATATAAAGTTGCATAAAAAAAAATGCGTGACTGTTCTTTCCGTATACATTGTTTTTACTTTTCTGCTATGATAGTGAGTTAGACAGCCTTTTCAAGTCATTCATGTGAGGATATTTTTGATTATCCCAACAATGGACATTTAAACTTCACAATAAACAACGTTTTTTCTCTCTGAAGAATCGATGTTTAACGTGTTTATTTTACCTTGAAGGCCTTTAGGCAGTTCCATTGTTTTCACCAGCTCCTCTGCAATGTCAAAAGCATTGAGACCGCCGAGCTTCTTCTCCCAAAACAGCTGTAAACATAAAAAAAGTTATATTAGCGGCAGGCAGTTTTAACATACCATTTAAAATGTAAATATAAAACCACTTTGAGCAATGAAAAGAACAAATACACCACCAACATATTTAAATCAAAGTCTGATCCGACCAGTTTCATATTAGCACATATCCATTCAGCATTAGATAACACTGTTTGTATGGGGGATGTTAAACAGTAACAGGTGACGGCTGTTTACCTGTCGGGGCTGGTCCACAGCTTTCTGAGGGTCCGTCTTCACTTTGTTGTTTGGGTGGTTGGTAACCTTGGTAACAGGCTGCTTAAAGATGGAGGCCGTCTGTCTTACTGGGAGCGACGTGTTCAAGTCAGGTTTACCCTGAAGAAAACAGAGGAAGAATGAGGCCAGGATGGAGACAGGAGAATGTAAAATGATCAAAGAGACAGAACATGACATATGGATAGGCAGTTGGTTGTCATGACATGAAGCTGATGTATTAAATTCTCTCTAGTATCATTGTCCATGTATTACTGTATTTTTTCTAGTTTGCTTTTATTGTTTTATTTTAACATATTATCACTGTAGATGTTTTATCTTGTTCTGTATTCATTTTAATATTATTTGAATATTGTTGTTATGTTTTCTGTAAAGCATTTTGGGCTGCTTTGTGCATGAAAGGTATTATATTATTCTCAATCAGTGGCACTAAAAAGACCATTTATAAGACGTACTTTCATAACATAACTAGGGTACTCACACACACAAAGCCGTGGCAGCACATCACTCCCACCCTCATCCACCTACACTGGTTGCCGGTCAAGTTCCGTATATCCTACAAAGTACTCCTCCTTACCTACAAGTCCCTCCATGCCCTTGCCCCCCAGTACCTATCGGACATCCTTCACCCACATGCCCCACCCCGGAACCTGTGGTCCTCAGACTCTGGCCTGCTTACCACCCCCCGCACCAAACTGCGAACCTTCGGGGACAGAGCCTACAGTGTGGCAGCCCCCACCCTCTGGAACGCTCTCCCTGCGGAGATTCGCAACATCCCCACACTCAACGCCTTCAAAAGGGCCCTCAAGTCCCATCTGTTTGCCAAGGCTTTCGGCCCCTAATCGATCTGTTGTTTTGTCTGTCTGACTTTTGTTATGTTTGTTTTTGCCCTATTACTTGTAAAGCGACCTTGGGTCCCTTGAAAGGCGCTATATAAATGCAAGCTATTATTATTATTATTATTATTATTAACACCCAAACAACAGAACAAGCAGTTATTATTGTGACTAACTCCTGACTTCATAAACAAATAGATAGTCAATGGGATGAACTGTGGTAGGAATGGGCTGCCTTGCTTTATTACTGTTACAATCATTGTTATTGATCCTACGTTTTTATAGTTTCATAATAATGCAGAATATGTTTGCCCATACCTGGGAATAATTGCAGAAGATTTAAATAAAAACATTTTGAAAACAAACAAAAAATAGGGACTAAAACCTAACATGTGATTTTAATCTGCAATTTATTTTAATTTATTTTTCGCCTGCAGTTCTCAATATATGAATGCTTTATTTAGTATATAACATGTCATTTAGCTGACGCTTTTATTCAAAGAGACTTATCATGAGTGCAATTAGACAAGAGGATGCAAATCGAACCATCAAGAATCCTGCAAGTACTTCTTACTCTTAACTTTAAAAAAGTCAAAACAATTTGGACTACATCAAACTTAAAAGCTATATTAAGATTTTGTTTTTTTAAATGTCAAGGTGCCGTCGAAACAGGTGTGTTTTCAGTCATATTTACAGTTTGTTTTCATGCATGACACAGGGTCAAGGTCACCATCAGTTGTATATTACATTACATTTAATTACATTACATGTTACTTGTTAGACGCTTTTATCCAAAGCGACTTACATACTCAATACTGTGGGCAATCCCCACAGGAGCAATTTGGGGTGAAGTGTCTTGCCCAGGGACACAACTACATGCTGACTGCACCTGTGCTCCCCTGATCCGAACAGCAACACACTATCCACTGCACCACAGCCGCCTGTAGATGTATTTTGTATTTTTGTATTTTATTATATATGTTGCATTGTTGGAGGAGCTCAGGTCAGAAGAATGTAATTGCCATTTCTACACTGTAGCTTTGTGCATACGACAATAAAACCTTTGAATTGAATTTGAATGTCAGTCAGTAGCTGGTCATCATGAGTCCATTTGTCTCACCTTGTTCTGGTTGTTGTTATCATAGCGCAGCCTCTGGCGGTTCTTGTTCAGCTTGCTCATCAGCATCTTCCCCGTGCGGAAATCGAAGGAGCTGAGGTCCATCTGGTTTCCAAGGTAACGGGCCAGCTGAGGCTTGCTCCGAAACTTCTTCCCTGATGGACTGGCGAGGAGGCAGAGGCATGAGAAACCAAAACATTCGTATATCATCTCTTTACAAAAACACAGAGAAGGTGTCAAAAAACAAACAGAGACGACGGCAGGGAGAACTGACAGGTCACACTTTAAAAAGCACACAGCAGACAGAAAAACTACAAACATCAACAACAACATGCAACAAGTCAGAAGCAAACAGAAGCAGAGCACATCCAAATGAGCAATGTCACTAAAAATCACGTTAAGTTGTGAAATGGATGCAATCTTTGATGTACACTCTACCCCAAGCCATGTTATGCGTCATATATATTTTAGTATAATAGGTTCAACAACATTGTATATAACTTTGAGAACCAATTAACACAATGTCACTAATGTTTCTAAATGAAAACATTTTAGCTCCACTTGAGGAAGCAACATTATCTTTACAAATCCTGAGAAATGACCAACAAAACTGTGGGTGGATTCGTGCTAGTAACTCATGCAAATCTTACATCACACACCACAGTAAACAGCAGTACGAGTGTACAGTTAGCCTACCACAAACTATACAACCGACCCGCCTCCCCCCTTTCTTGCCTCTGTTCCTCATCTTGCTCTTCTCCTCTGCTAAATGAAAACAAATCTGGCGTTGTTGATTCACTTCAGTGGGAAATAAAGAGTATTAACTGAGAGGAAGTGTAATGCATCATAAGGCCTGCTGCAGCTACTACTACTAGCCTGCACACACTCCTTCTATCTCACCATTGGTGGCCTTTTTACCCCGCTGCAAACAGACCCCCCCCTTCCCATCACAAACTTTACACAGACCCCCCCTCCCAATTATCAACTCCTGTCTTGTTTCCGCAAACTCTTGTGTCCTGTGCAGCTAAAAGTTTTGCAAGCCCCCGTTCGTTTAGTACCTAAAATAATAGACATCGCTTTTTCCAGCTGACAAACCCGACTTTCTGGTCACTTCTTCCATTTTCCAGCCCTTGGGGAGAGCAGTGCAATCCCACCTTTTCTTCTCCATTTCCCACGCGAGTAGCCTATAAATCCACTTAAAGTTACTGCGATTGGGTTTTAAGGCTTATTTTTGTGGAAGGCCTACCGCTTCTTACGCTTTTGTTTCGACCATATTACAACATGCGTCCTCTGTAATGGGATCTCCCTGCTAACAACATCTCGTCTTTGTCGTCGCGCAGATCGCTCCGCCGCGGACCTCGGACCGCATCACTACCTGTCTGTCTAGTCGGGTTACCAGCGCTACATCCGCAAATGAAAACATAGGACAGCGCGGGCAGGACGATACAGGAAGTCAGCAGACATTTGTCACGGAGTAAACGGGTTACACTTGATTTAACTTAACTTTAAATCGCAATTTGTTTGAGAGACTGGAGCAACATGTACTGTTGTTGAAATAGTTGTTTTGGTTACTAAATCGACTTTACCATTACCGTTTGAGACATGTGACTATTTCACATTAATGATCATTGAATTGTCAGGAGCTGGTGTTATATGTCTCTAGTTGTGTCCTGTGTATGTTGTAATGCCATGTTATGCACTTTATGCGTGTAGGTGTATTCGTGTTTTATTCTGTAATGTTTGTATGTTCATCTCAGTGTGTGTGTTTTAGTTTGGTCCTAGCCTACTTCATTCTGTAATGTTATGGTTACAATGTTAGTTTGTTTTTGTTGTATTGCCTCTATGTAAAGTCTGTTTAATGGACCCCAGAATAGAAAAGCCTCAAAGTGTTTCAGTAATGCCCTAACATTACATTCAGTACACAAATTGTTCAAACTTGTATGCCAAGAACATTCAAAGACTCAAGAAGCAATGGTAAAATAGTTTTTCTCCGTAATGTTGTTCAAAAAGTTTGTGTTTAATAGTTTAAACTTGCGGTTTCACTCTTTTTTATGTGATAGAAAAATGAGGCCTCTAAATTAGAAGCATGTTGTCAAAATCATGTATTCAAATATTATAGTTGCCTAAGTCTTATTGTTAGGCCTATATGATTATATCGTAACATAGCTTCCATTATTTTGTTTTCTGAAAAAGTGTATTTATAAAATATGATAAAAGAGGGCTGTATGGGAAGATTGAACATTTACAAGTTCCCTAAAAACATGTTATGACCGTTATGCTTTTCTTTTGAAAGGTTTCCCGGAAGTGTTCTACTCTATGTTGACGCTGAAGGCTGCTCCAATGTTAACATATGGGAAACATAAATTAGACTACAGCTACGAAATAGACCGTTAATACATTTCACGCAAATGCAATGACAACAATGATGGACGCCGGTGACTAATTAAATATTCAAGATGTAGAAACATGTCGTCCCTCACTTGTAGCTTTGCACGGTAACACAAAATGCGAAAGTTTCATGTTCGTGAAATAGGAGAGCCTTTTCAACACGACAATGCCCACCGTTGTCATTCAGACTTGACGCCGGCTTTTATGAATGAACAAAGTAGATCTTATCCATAATACAGACACCATTTTAAAAAGCGTATCATGCATTTAATGAGTCTTTGTGCAACGATTCCGACACAATATATATGATCTATTTTTTAAGGTGGAAATCCTTGTCGAAATAGCACACTGTCGACGCAGTGTACCGCCTCTATGCTTAATTCAACATTTGCTGTAAATATCAAGACAGTTAATAAAGCATATTAGAGTCATGCTTAGGAAAAAGACCGACATCATAGCTGGAGACCACAGCATTGTTATTTTCAAACGCGAAACCACAGAGTGCATCTGTCTAATCGATGATAAACATACTTTCTAATTACATTATGAAAACGACATAAGGCGCATTAAACGCTGCAATTGCAATCAATACAGTTGTTGGTGGTTTCAAAACCCTTCAGATTATGTACTTACTCGTTTTTATCCATCTTGAAGACACTATCTCGTTTTCTCCCTCTCGCTATGTTAAATCCCTTCTCCTCTCTCCTCATTCAGTCCCCTCCCCCTTCGATGGGAGAAATGAAAGACATTATCCACGCAAATTTCGCAGTCTGGCTGATAAAAAGGGAATAATGTTTTGAGCGAACCTGGCGTATTCCCAGTGTGCTAGGCTCACAATACCTCGGTGGATGCGTGTGATTCAGCATGCATAAGGAAATACAATAACATACTTCGCATAAACATTGTCTTCAATATATTTTTTATTTCATATTGCTTTAATGTACAAATAAACAGAGTTGGCAAATATAAGGTTTTTCAGATCCAACTGCCCCATGAAAAATAAAATGACAGTATTTCCACTTTTATTCAGCATTGAACAAATCGATTTTTTAAAAACCCATTTTACCAGTAAATTCAAGCAAAAACATTTAATTAGTTGGCTTTTTGCTGAATAACTGGACAAATCGGACCAAGTTCAAAGATTTATTCATATTAAATAAAACTGGATCGAAACGCACACGTATACAGAGTGCATCTTGAAGTCCCAACTACTGGCGAGCCCTCATTGACTGATTTTCGAGCCAGGGCATCCCTCTTAAGCTTGTGTTGCGTTATCAACCCATCCATGTGCCCATTCCCCAATCTGGTCCTGTAGCTGTAGGCACAAACACAAATCCAACTTGTTAGCAAAATGTAAATGAACAAATCTGTTTAAATGTGTAAGAAGCACAATCTTCCTGTCTTTCATGTTGGATTTCTGACAAAAACACATTCAAGTAGGGGTTATGGGGATTATGGCAAAATGATTGGTTGTGATGGAGAATAGGGCTCCAAAAGGTTTATAAATCTTAATAGAGCTTAGAAATATCAACTATAGTGTGATTTAGGAATGGATATGTCTGGGATTAAGGTTGCATTGTTATTTATTAAATCAAATAATAAATACTGTACTTGAGCACTGCAGGAAAGCTCAAAAGGGCCAATAACAGTATTGAGAATTATAAACATAGAGGTGGATTAAAAATAAAATTCAACCTCTAACCAATAAAAAAATAAAATAAATGTGAACAATTACAACAAAATGCAACACAATTGGGTCAGGTCAAATAAATGCATATTTATTTTAAATCTCTATTTTGTCATAATAAGCTTCTTTTCTTTTTGTATTATTTATTTGGAGTCACATAGTGTTGATAGTACAGTTTGATTGGCAAATAATTATTTATGAGTGAACCGCAAATGGCAAATTAAATAAAAAACATATGACCCTTTTGCAAAGCTATAGATAACACAGAAGCGTAAAGCAATTTATTTACTCAGCCTTTCCCTTGTTATTCAGCACTACAGAAGTATTATAATAACCATTTTGTCTTCAGTATGGGGTTGCATGTGCAGATGTTTGAGAAGAGTTCAAACAAACTGCCAGGTGTAAGCAAGGTGACAGTAACTAATACTCAAGAGCGTTATTTGAATGTTCAGTTTAACACCTGGCATAGCCTACACCTGCCTGCATCTTATCACAAGTACATGGGTGGGGTTAAAGCTAATGAGCAATCCAAAGGAACATTGCAAACAGAGTGTGTGAAAATATCCTATTACACTAGCATGGGTCAAACTAACAATACACTCACAATTTAGTTGTGTGGACTCTATTCATCCTTTTTGAACTTCTGATTAATGTATGGCACATAGTCCAGAATTAATCGCCAGTCTGTGAAGTAAACGAGCGCCACTCCACCAACTGTTCCCCAGGTAGCCATGTTCGGTATCCTAGACGGGAGAAAACAATGGCTTTCAGAAATTAGACATTTACTTCACTACAATACATATGTCAAGAACAATTTGATAGTTGTACTCATGATTCAGAAGGCATGATGGTTTACAAGAGATATAAATTGTATCTATTTCAAGTTTCGGGATGCACACCTACCTAATTAAATGTAGTCAGTTCTTGCTACTCTCACAAGTTAAGTATGATTATCAATATTTACAAGTCATAATTGTGTGTTTAGACAAACCAAATATTCTAGGTTGAACTGAACTGGCTTAAGTTGTTAAATTGTTAAATTAAAATATAATGAAATAAAGGTTAAAAATGATTGGATAGTATAGAGGTTTGATAATGAGATAAACATATTATTTTGTTACATATAATATCAATCCTTAAAAAACACTGTTCAGCGGTGGCTATTTCTCTGTGTGCACTTTGCAGTCATTCATGCAGGGTCATCTGTGCTACCCAGCTCTCACTATGTTGATACAAAAACGAACAGCTGTCATGTATTATTAACTCGAACTATGATGAGTAAATCAACACTATACTCAAGAGAAAAAAATAAATAATACACGTTACACAAAAACATATATATTCATGTCATTAATACATTATACTAAAATCTTGATTTCTGTATAATGGAAGTTTATCAGATTCATAAACTCGTCAGGTATATCATAAATAAATTAGGAGATACGACTAAATGTTAGCAAAGGAATAAGAACAGTTCTGTTATTGCATTTCAAATATTCAGGGCATTAATGTTTCCACATTTAAGAATTTCATTTAAGATAAGCTAGCAATTAAATTTCCTGAGCATTAAATATATCACAATACCCAATACAAATCTTTAGTGTCATATAAACATTGTTACTTGCCTCCTCCACTAACCTTGCCATTCAGTAGCATTATGCTAACTAGCCAGCTAGCTGAACCAGTAGGAAATAAACAAGCAGGCTAAGCTAAAGTTAGCTAGTTAGCCAAACGGGTCACACAGAAGGACACAGACTCGTTGACATCATTTTAAACAACTAAAAAAATATTGTTTCAGGTAAACCACTCCACCACTGTTTGATTTAACTTACCACGCCTTTAGAATATTTATATACTTCGCACCGACGAATTTATTTAGTATGTTCTGCACCATCCTGACCTTCTGTTTGTTGTAGTTCTTTGCTCCTTTTAACGCTGATGGCCGTTAAGGACCCTGGGCTGCCTTTTCTCATGCCTGTTTAAAAACAACCGACGTGCTGCGTGCAACATCCATGCGTGACATTCTGCTACGGGTCATTTCAGGCAATCGTGTCAAAGGTCTCGGTTTACAACACACTCGTTTTAAAAAAAGATTATCGGGTATTAAGAATGGATTGCCAGCGCTGATTGCACCAGGAATTGAGACCCGACTCATCATGCATGCCCCTGTCTTTGGCTGCAATTCACAAAATACACTGTACAAATAATATTACCATTACTAATAAGGTTTCCCTTTCTTGTCGTTGGAAATGGAAAAAATAATTTGT